AGTACTCTTCTATCTTGAGAAACATCTTGGCTGGTTACGACAACCAGGTCATCATGAACTCGACCTTGAAGAACTTGACCGAGGTCTTGCGTGACAAGGAGTTGCCATACTCCGAATGGGCCATGCACTGCTCTGCTTTGCACTCCAGATTGCCTCCTAAGTTGGACGAAGCCATGACTGCTCTTATTGAGAGATCCCACTCCAGAGGTGCTGAATTCCCAGCCAAGAACCTTTTGAAGCTCATGAACAAGGCTGAGAAGGAGAGTGGTGACTCCCTTTTTGGTGCTGTTGTTGCTCCTTTGGTTGAAGTCGCTACCAACTACGCCAGCGGTTTGGTTGAGCACGAGTACAACTTCATCGCCAGTTTGATCAACGAGTACTACAATGTCGAGTCCTTGTTCTCCGGCTCCAGTCACCGTGAGGAGGACGTCGTTTTGAAGCTCAGAGATGAGAACAAGTCCGACTTGTCCAAGGTGCTGACCTACGCTCTTTCCCACTCCCGTGTTTCCGCCAAGAACAACTTGATTTTGGCTATTCTCGAAGACTACCAGCCTATCTTGCAGCAGTCTGCCACCATCGCCTCGCCTATCAGAGATGCCTTGAGAAACATCGTTGAGCTTGAGTCTCGTGGTACCGCCAAGGTCGCCTTGAAGGCCAGAGAAATCTTGATTCAGTGCTCTTTGCCCTCGATCAAGGAGAGATCCGACCAGTTGGAGCACATCTTGAGATCTTCCGTGTTGCAGACCTCCTACGGTGAGGTTTACGCCAAGTACAGATCTCCAGCATTCGACACAATCCGCGAGGTTGTGGACTCCAAGCACACTGTGTTTGATGTTTTGCTCCAGTTCCTCGTCAACGCTGACGAGTGGGTTGCCATGGCTGCTGCTGAGGTCTACGTTCGTCGTTCTTACAGAGCTTACTCCTTGGGTCCTATCACCTACAACTTCCACGACCAGGAGAAGTTGCCAATCATCCAGTGGGCTTTCCAGTTGCCTTCGCTCTCTTCTCATGCTGCTCCTTACGCCAGCTTCAAAAAGGACGAGTCTAGCTCCATGGGCAGAGCTGCCTCTGTGTCTGACTTGTCTTTTGTCGTTGACAACAAGAAGGAAGGTAAGATCAGAAGCGGTATCTTGGTTCCTTGCAAGCACATTGACGACATGGACGACATGCTTCTTGCAGGTCTTGACAAGATGGAGCCAGCTGACGCCATTTCTTTCCAGGCTGGTGCTGAACCTGAGTACATGAACGTTGTCAACGTTGCTGTTACCAACATTGATGGTTACGAAACCGAAGAGGAGGTTTTGGAGAAGGTGCACGAGACTATTGAGGACAACAGAGAGGAGTTGAAGGCTGCTGCTGTTCGTCGTATCACTTTTGTCTTTGGCAACAAGGTTGGTACTTACCCCAAGTACTACACCTTCACCGCTCCTGAGTACATCGAGAACAAGGTCATCAGACACATTGAGCCTGCTTTGGCCTTCCAGTTGGAATTGGGAAGAATGGAGAACTTCGACATTAAGCCAATCTTTACCGACAACAGAAACCTCCATGTTTACGAAGCCGTGGGCAAGAACTCGCCTTCTGACAAGAGATTCTTCACCCGTGGTATCATCAGAACCGGTGTTATCAGCGAGGACATCTCCATCAGCGAGTACTTGATCGCCGAGTCCAACAGATTGATGTCGGACATCTTGGACGCTTTGGAGGTTATCGACACCTCCAACTCCGACTTGAACCACATTTTCATCAACTTCTCTGCCGTTTTCAACGTCACTCCAGAGGATGTCGAGGCTGCCTTTGGCTCCTTCTTGGAGAGATTCGGCAGAAGATTGTGGAGATTGAGAGTCACCTGTGCCGAAATCAGAATCTCTTGTGTTGACCCAGCCTCGGGTCAGCCTTTCCCATTGAGAGCCATCATCAACAACGTCTCCGGTTACGTCGTCAAGTCCGAGTTGTACATGGAAATCAAGAACGGCAAGGGCGAGTGGGTGTTCAAGTCGATGGGTCACCCTGGCTCCATGCACATGAGATCCATCAACACTCCATACCCAGCCAAGGAGTCCTTGCAGCCTAAGCGTTACAAGGCCCACAACATGGGTACCACTTATGTCTACGATTTCCCTGAGTTGTTCCGTCAAGCTACTATTTCCCAGTGGAAGAAGCACGCCAAGGATGCTAAGGTCCCAAGAGACTTCTTCCTTTCTGAGGAGTTGATCAATGACGAGAACGGAGGCTTGACTGCTGTTGAAAGAGAGCCTGGTTCGAGCAAGATCGGTATGGTCGGTTTTAAGGTCAACGCCAAAACGCCCGAGTACCCACATGGCCGTCAGTTCATCATTGTGGCCAACGACATCACCCACAAGATCGGTTCCTTCGGTCCTGAGGAGGACGAGTTCTTCAACAAGTGTACCGAGTTGGCCCGTTCCTTGGGTATTCCAAGAATCTACCTTTCTGCCAACTCCGGTGCCAGAATCGGTGTTGCCGAGGAGTTGCTTCCATACTACAAGGTTGCCTGGAACGAGGAAGGCCAGCCTGAGAAGGGCTTCAAGTACTTGTACTTGACCTCTGAGGACAAGGCACTTCTCGAAGAAAAGGGCAACGCTGCTTCTGTGGTCACCGAGAGAGTCGTGGAGAAGGGTGAAGAGCGTCACGTTATCAAGACCATTGTCGGTGCCGAAAACGGCCTTGGTGTTGAGTGTCTTAAGGGTTCTGGTTTGATCGCCGGTGCCACTTCCAAGGCATACAAGGATATCTTCACCATCACCTTGGTGACGTGCAGATCCGTCGGTATCGGTGCTTACTTGGTCAGATTGGGTCAGCGTGCTATTCAGATCGAAGGCCAGCCTATCATTTTGACAGGTGCTCCCGCTATCAACAAGTTGTTGGGTAGAGAGGTGTACTCTTCCAACTTGCAGCTTGGTGGTACCCAGATCATGTACAGAAACGGTGTTTCCCATTTGACTGCCTCCGACGATTTGGCTGGTGTTGAGAAGATCATGGAGTGGATGTCCTACATTCCTGCCAAGAGAAACACTCCTGTTCCTATCTTGAACAGCACCGACCCATGGGACAGAGACGTGGAGTTTGCTCCAGCTCAAAAGGTGCCTTACGACGTTAGACACATGATTTCCGGTCGTGAAAACGACGACGGTGAGTTTGAAGCCGGTTTGTTCGATAAGGACTCTTTCCAGGAGACTTTGTCTGGATGGGCCCGTGGTGTTGTTGTCGGAAGAGCCCGTCTTGGTGGTATTCCTATTGGTGTCATTGGTGTGGAGACCAGAACCGTCGACAACTTGGTTCCTGCTGATCCTGCCAACCCAGACTCCACCGAGATGATGTTCCAGGAGGCTGGTCAAGTTTGGTACCCCAACTCCGCTTTCAAGACCGCCCAGGCTATCAACGACTTCAACCACGGTGAGCAGTTGCCATTGATGATCTTGGCCAACTGGAGAGGTTTCTCTGGTGGTCAGCGTGATATGTTCAACGAGGTGCTCAAGTACGGTTCCTACATTGTGGATGCCTTGGTCGACTTCAAGCAGCCCATCTTCACCTACATCCCACCACACGGTGAGTTGAGAGGTGGTTCTTGGGTCGTTGTGGACCCTACCATCAACGCCGACATGATGGAGATGTACGCTGACGTCGAGTCCAGAGCCGGTGTTTTGGAGCCCGAGGGAATGGTGGGCATCAAGTACAGAAGAGACAAGTTGTTGGCCACCATGGGCAGATTGGACCCTGAGTACCGCGAGTTGAAGGCCCAGCTCAACGGCAAGCTTGATGCTGATGAGCACGCTAAGGTGGCTGCCAAGTTGGCTGCTCGTGAGAAGGCCTTGATGCCTATCTACGCCCAAATCTCGGTCCAGTTTGCCGATTTGCACGACAGATCCGGCAGAATGTTGGCCAAGGGTGTGATCAGAAAAGAGATCGAGTGGGTGGACGCCAGACGTTTCTTCTTCTGGCGTTTGCGCAGAAGATTGAACGAGGAGTACCTCTTGAAGATGATTGGCGAGACCATCAAGACCGGCTCGCGTTTGGAGAGAGTGGCCCGTTTGAAGAGTTGGATGCCTACCGTTGACTACGACGACGATGAGGCCGTCAGCACGTACATTGAGACGAACCACGCCAAGTTGCAGAAGAGAATCGACGAGTTGAAGTCGGAGCAGAACCGCCACGACTTGCACAAGCTTTTTAGAAAAGACGGAGGTGCCGCCAGCGCCGCCATCAAGGATTTCTTGAGCTCCATGTCGGATGCCGACAGACAGTCCTTGCTCAGAAACCTTTAATCATTCGTTATGACCTATAGATAGTAATTTAAAGATACATGAGGGTGTTGTAGTGGAACAAAATGGCAGCTAGAAGAGCGTTTCTAAAAACTTGGAGCATATTGGAATGTGTCGATGATTCCTGTGTTATTGGTGTATTGGTGTTTTGGTGTTTTTGGAGTTGTTGGTGATTCCGGAGTTGTTGGTGATTCCGGAGTTGTTGATGTTTCTGGAGTTGTTAATGATTCTGGAGTTGTTGATGATTTCAGAGTTGTTAATGATTTCAGAGTTGTTAATGATTTAAGAGTTATTGATGATTTAAGAGTTATTGATGATTTCAGACTTGTTGATTATTCTGAAGCTATTGATGTTGTAGTAGTATAGTTGTTGAGAGTTGAGAAGATGGAGTTGTAAGTTGTCTCAATTGCGTAACTGTAGCACTGATGAATAGTTAGAAGTAAGAAGAGATTTTGAAAAGTCTTGAATTGGTAGTATCCACCTATTTTTATGTTTCTGTCGGGGTAGTCACTTCCTCAGTTAGTGCACTGGTACTAGAACTGTTGATACACCCAGCAAATCAGCCAAACACCACCAATTCACACCCTATTTCTTCACAGCTCCATTTCATCAAAAACCAACAATCTGCTTATGCTTTTCTTTTTTTCTGTTTTCCAAATCCAACTCCCTCTTGGATGGCACTTCCTCACCACCACAGTCGCATTTGCAGCCATTCACACCATGCTTCTTTCCAACCTTGTCCCCACCATCCTCCTCATTTCCGTCGTAACCGGCCTGAACCGCCACCTCGTCGTCCTCAGGGCCTCGGAAACCCTCGATCTGTTCATGAAATACGACCTCACCATCCCCAAGGCCCACCGAGCCCGAGAGTTCATTGGAAAGCAGTTCCAGATCGGCAATCTCCACGGATTCGTGGGCAACTTTTCAGCGTCCGTCCTAGAACGCCTCAAGCGGTGCCCCATGGTCGCCGAGGTCACGCCCGATATCGAGATTCTGGCGTTCCAGGTTGTAGAGCAGCACAATCCACCTACACACTTGGCACACCTTTCCAGCCGGGACAAACAAGTCACGCAGTACCGCCACCAGCCGTACTACTACGACGACGACGAGACAGGCAAAAACGTGAATGTGTACATTGTGGATCTGGGTTTGGCGCTTGAACATGGAGAATTCGAAGGACGAGCGTTTTTTGGCAAAGACTTCACCAACGAAGGCAGCGGCGACACCAACGGGCACGGGACGCATGTTGCAGGGATAGTCGGGTCGGCTACGTACGGCGTGGCGAAAAAAGTACGCCTTTTCGAGGTGAAAACCTTGGACAAACAGGGCCAAGGCACACTATCCGGGATTTTAGGAGCTATGGAGTTTGTGGTGACCCACCGGCGCCGGGCCAAAGTGCCAGGCGTGGTGAATCTCTCGCTTGGAGCGGTGAAAAACAGCATTTTGAACCGGGCCGTGGACGCCGCCGCCGGTACCGGGATCGTGGTTGTAGTAGCCGCTGGAAACACCAATGAAGATGCCTGTCGAACGTCTCCAGCGAGTGCCCGAGGCGCCATTACCGTGGGCGCTGTTGACGAGCTGACGATGGCGTTGGCGGAATTTTCGAACTGGGGCAGCTGTGTGGATTTGTACGCTTCAGGCGTGGAGGTTTCTTCTGTGGATCCATATAGTGAGGAGGCCCAGATACTCACGGGAACGTCGATGGCGGCGCCTGCGGTGGCTGGTATGGCGGCGGCGTTACTTTCGGGCGGGATTTCGCCGTATGACGTGAAGAAAGAGTTGGTTTCGTTGGCGGTGGATTCGATGATTCCGCTGAGGAAGGCGAGAAACCGGGTTTTGTATAACGGGATGGACCCCGTGGAGAGCGAGGGGGAGGAGGTCTTGGAGGAGAGTGACGAGAGTGAAGAGGAGGATGGGTTTTGGCGGGGGCCTCGTTGGTGGTGGGGCAGTCGAGACGGATTGATTTGATGGTGGTCTATGGTGAGCGTAGTATATGGAATGTTTATTGAAATTTGAAGGAGATAAGTGGGTAGATTGGGGTATTTTAGAAAACTGGGGTCGAGGAGGCAGTGGTCTTGGGACGGATTTGTGTGTTCGGTTTGCTGCTGTTGACTGAGTTGTGTGGTGGGTGCATCAACAGTCTCATCGACAATTACATCAACGGTTTTATCAACGGATTCATCGACAGCTTCATCAACGGCTTCATCAAAAATCACTTGCATTGGTTTGAAGCTCAGAATTTAAGAGTTCAGGTGCACCTTGGATAAAGACTCCTTAGGTTGTCGATCCTCTTTGCATTAGAGTTACATCCGGAAAAAGTCATACCTCAAAGAAGTAACATCCTGACCCTTCTTATAAAGTGACATTCAAGTCGAGAAGTGTCAATTTAACGTTCCAATTGCCTTGTGTTGAATTGTCAACTAAGCTTCAAATCCTTAGAGAACGTTATCTGCCATTTAGCAAGAGAACGTGCCGCTTCTTGAGTCATGGTGCACTCGCCTGTAGATCTCGGAGTATACCAAGCGAGAATTGTTTCCACTTGAAAAGATTTTGAAAGTTATCTAGGAGTTTATTGAAACAAGACCAAAATTAGTTGATTTGGCCCAAATGAAGTATTGGTGTAGATCACCCTTTCAAAATTGAATCAGTGAATATTTCTACATAAATCGCCAAATCCTGGTCAGGATGGCGTATTTAAAATGTTTTCAGATTTTTACGGGTGTATCTTGGCTTGAATTGCTTTCTTCATCCTTCCAACGGATCTCTTTTAATTTCCAGTTGACTGACTTTGTTTCATAGGTTTCCACTTTTCAGCGGGTGCACCAAAATAACCACAAATTACAAAAAACACACAAACATATAAAAACATCGTGGCTCTTGAAATTTGATAAAATAAGGCTTTCTATCCCCCCTCCTTCCCATTTTCTCCCCCAACGGACTAACGGATCATTTCAACACCTCCTGGGGGACCCTTTTCCTAAATGACTCCTGGCGGGTATCTCACCGTGCGGCTCACTCAACTATATAAGCACCTCCTGTTCCGCCACTTTTGCTCACACCTCACCTTTTTTTTTTTCTATGGCAATAAAGCGAAAATCTCAGAAAAGAAAACCAGCGTCACCCAGTATGACCCACCCCACCCGTAGTCGCCTCTTCTCACTCATCTAACCAACAGCCCCACCGGACGCGTCTCCAGACCAGGATGCTCCAGGCGATAAAGGATACAACACAGCTGCTCCTTCGACGGTGGCCCCTTTTTCTGCGTTTCGTACGCCCTACCTCAATTCAAGCCATTGGGCGGGCGTGGAAGGCATGGGCCATGGGCCCGACCGCTTCTATCGAGTTTACGGCGACGACAAGCTGTCTGCAAAGACTGAGAACACCCAAGCCGGCGATGCCGCTTTGAATGGCGACCCGTACCCAGCATGGGCACCAAGTGAGCAAATGCCTGTTTCACGTAACAAGATTGGCGCCATCATGAACCACTTGACCAAGGTGTTCGGCTTCCAGGAGGATAACGCTAAGAACATGTACCACTATTTGATGCGGATGCTTGACTCCAGAGCCTCCCGGATGGGACCTCAGAATGCATTGCGTACACTTCACGGTGACTACATTGGCGGGCCAAACGCCAACTTTCGTAAATGGTATTTCGCTGCTGAGATGGATGTCGACGATGCTCATGGCTGGGCAAACGTCAAGAGAAGCGGAATCATCAGGCAGACCAAGGAGCGAGTTACTCCCTATGAACGTGCCGTTGAGCTGTGGTACAAGAATATGCTGCGCTTGACCCCAATTGACTATGTCACCCAGCTCTCCCTCTTTTTGTTGTGCTGGGGAGAAGCCAACAACGTGCGTTTCATGCCTGAGTGTCTTTGCTTTATCTTCAAGTGCTGCAATGACTACTACTATTCTCTCGATGAAGAGAACGAGACGGAGTCCAACATGCCCTTCTTGGATCGTATCATTACCCCCATCTATGATACCTACCGGAAGCAGTGTTACGACGTCAAAGGAAACGACATGAGCAGAAGCGATAGGGACCACTCCTCTATCGTTGGGTATGACGACATGAATCAGTTATTTTGGCATCGTTCTGGAATTGAGCGCATCACATTAGGCGATTCAACTCCTCTCATGTACTTGAACCGCGAGGACCGTTATCATCTGTTTGCTGAAGTTAATTGGGAGCGGGCGTTCTACAAAACATACCACGAAACACGTTCTTGGCTTCATGTCTTCACGAACTTCAACAGAGTGATTCTCATTCACTTTTGCGTGTTTTGGATCTATACTTCCTTCAATTCGAAGCCTCTCTACACTCCGAGATACTCGATAACCGTCGATGAGAGAACCCCACCCCAAACCACTCTCACTGTGATGGCTTTAGCTGGGAGTTGGGCTTGTATCATTTCGCTCGTGAGTTTATTGCTTGAATTGTGCTTCGTTCCAAGAAAATGGCCTGGTGCTCACCCTGTGGTACGTCGAATTATCTCAATAGTGATTCTTTTTGTCATCAACACAACTCCTACCATTGTTTTATTTTTCACATCAAAGCTTAACGAAAGAGACACACTCTCAGTTGTCGTCACATCTTTTCAATTGGCGTTTGCCTTTGGCGTGATATTATACTTGATTTTTAAGACCCAGGGAAATCAATTCGGGGCTCGACCTAATGGACGCACCGCTTTTGCCTCAGAAGCTTTTACTTCCAACTTTTTTATCTTGAGAGGCTCAGATAAACTTGCATCGTATGGCTTGTGGGTATGCGTCTTCACTTCGAAGTTCTTGGAATCTTACTTTTACTTGACTCTTTCACTCAAAGACCCGTTGCGGGAGCTTTTCATAATGAGGGTCAACAGATGTGTGGGTGACGAGTGGATAGGCTCCTGGCTTTGCAATGCACAACCTCGTATAATTCTTGTTTTGATTGTGGTTCTCGACTTCATCCTATTCTTTTTGGATACCTATTTGTGGTATGTGATATGGAATACAGTTATCTCAGTCCTTCGGTCGTTTTATATCGGAGCATCTATCTGGACCCCTTGGAGGAACATTTTTTCGAGACTTCCAAAACGAATTGCCTCCAAGGTCTTGGTGACAAACAGTAACAACAAACATGGCCAAAAGATCCAAGTGTCAAAAGTCTGGAATTGTCTCATTATTGCGATGTACCGAGAGCATTTCTTATCAATTGAACAAGTTCACCGATTACTTTACGAGTTCACTTACACTTGCAATGACGACGGCAATGTGGTAATTCGTGAGCCTACATTTTTTGTCTCTCAGGAGGATGACTCTATCAGGAATTCTTTGTTCCATGATAAGTCAGAAGCTCAAAGAAGAATCACTTTCTTTGCTCAATCATTATCGACACCAATGCCAGATATCAGAGAGGTAAGGGCAATGCCCTCATTCACTGTCTTAGTCCCTCACTACACGGAGAAAATCATTTTACTGTTGAAGGAAATTATCAAGGAAGAGGATAGGTTTTCGCATGTCACGATGTTGGAGTATCTCAAACAATTGCATGCTTCTGAATGGGCAAACTTCGTTTGGGACACCAAGCAAATGGCAGAGGAGGACGATTCAGAAGAATCAGTACTTTCGCTTTCTGCTTCTGAGAAGCACGATGATCTCCCATACTATTCTGTTGGGTTCAAGACTGCAACACCTGAATACGTAACAAGAACGAGAATATGGGCATCTTTGAGATCACAAACGCTTTACAGAACTGTTTCTGGTTTCATGAACTATACCAGAGCTTTAAAGCTTCTTTCAGATTTGGAGATTAGCAAAGATCATTATTCAGATTCCAACGACGAGGGCAAATTGAGGATCATCAATGAGATGGCAGCTCGAAAGTTCCGCATCATTGCATCGATGCAGCGTTTCAAAAGATTCACTGAAGAGGAGAAGGAGAACACAGAGTACTTGATGCGTGCTTACCCAGAGCTTCAGATTGCTTACATTGACGAAGACATGGACGAGGAAACGGGTAAGGTAACATATTACTCGGCATTGGTCGACGGTACATGTCCCGTTCTGGAATCAGGAGAAAGGATACCCATCTATCGGATAAGGCTTTCTGGGAATCCAATATTGGGTGATGGTAAGTCTGACAATCAAAACCAGGCACTTATCTTTTCCAGAGGGGAGTACATTCAACTTATTGATGCAAACCAAGACAACTACATCGAAGAGTGTCTCAAGATACGGAACACGTTAGCTGAATTTGAGGAGCAAAGAATCTTGGATCCATATAGTTCGGAAGCAAGGAGATCAATTTCTCCTAATCCTGTTGCGATTGTTGGCCTGAGAGAATACATCTTCTCGGAGAACATTGGAATCTTAGGCGATGTCGCTGCTGGTAAGGAGCAAACTTTTGGTACCCTTTTTGCTAGAACTTTGTCTCAGATTGGCGGAAAACTCCATTACGGTCATCCTGATTTTCTAAACGTGGTTTTCATGAGCACTCGAGGAGGAGTTTCAAAGTCTCAAAAGGGCCTCCACTTGAATGAGGATATCTACGCTGGCATGAACGCGATACTCAGAGGGGGAAGAATAAAGCATTGTGAATACATTCAATGTGGAAAGGGTCGAGACCTTGGCTTCAGTTCAATTCTGAATTTTATCACTAAAATTGGAGCTGGTATGGGCGAGCAGCTCCTTTCGAGAGAGTACTTTTATTTGGGTACCAAGCTTCCACTTGATCGGTTCCTCTCATTCTACTATGCGCATGCTGGGTTTCATCTCAATAATGTTTGCATTATCTTGTCAATCCAGTTGTTTCTTCTTGTGGGCGTCAATATTGCAGCATTATCCAATGACTCTTCCATATGCGAATTCGACAAGAACAAGCCGATCACTGATCCTCGTCGGCCCCATAATTGTTTGAACCTTGTTCCTGTTATTCGTTGGCTTGAGAGATGTATTTATTCTATTTTTGTTGTGTTCATTATATCTTTCATTCCTTTGGGCGTTCAAGAGATAACTGAGAGGGGATTTTATAAATGCTTTGCAAGACTCGGGAAGCATTTCTTGTCACTTTCACCATTATTCGAAGTCTTCGTGTGCAAAATCTATGCAAAGTCTATTACGGGGGATATCGCCGTGGGAGGAGCACAGTACATTGCGACCGGCAGGGGACTTGCAACAAAAAGGGAGCCCTTTTCGAGTTTGTTCACAAGGTTCGCTAACGAATCCCTCAATTCAGGAGCCTTCTCATTACTTCTTGTGGTATACATTTCTGTATCTTGGTGGAAGTTTTCCTTCCTTTATTTTTGGATGACAGTACTTGGTCTCCTCATCAGCCCTTTCCTTTTTAATCCGAATCAATTCTCGAGAGCTGAATTTTTCCTCGACTACGGGCATTACTTGAAGTGGCTCTTCAGCGGTAATTCAACTGTTCAGGACGAATCATGGATACGACACACAAAGATTGCAAGAAGCCGTTTCACAGGATTGAAGCTGAGACTCAGATACGGAGATGAGGATGTCAAGTTCACAAGCGAGGTGAAACCAACCAGATTCAACATCGTCCTTCTAAGCATCATTCCAGAGGTATTCAGCCTTGCGTTCATTGGCTGTGCATATCTCTTTTCAAACTCCCAGGCCGAAACGAGAAACGCCATACCAAGTCTTTCAGTTTATCGAATTCTTTTCGTCTCAGCGGCTCCCATAGCTGTAAACATCGCCATTTTGGTTGCATTTTTTGTCGTTTCTGTCATTTTGGGGCCACCATTGAGCTTCTGCTTCAAAAGTTTTCCGAGTGTAATCGCTGCTACCGTTCACATCCTAGCATTCTTGAACCAGATATTCTTCATTGAGTTGTTATGGGTCTTACAGAATATGGATGTGCCTCGAACTTTACTTGGAATTGCTAGTATGATCCTTATCCAGCGTATTATCTTGAGATTTGTCAACGCGATGATGCTAACCAGAGAGTTTCGCCACAGTAAGTCAAACCAGGCATGGTGGTCAGGTAAATGGGTGACTGCAGAGTTGGGGTGGTTGACTTTCACGCAACCGATCCGTGAGTTCATTTGCAAAATCAGTGAGCTCACATATTTCACTGTGGATGTCATCGTTGGCCACACCATCTTCTACATTCAGCTTCCAATCATTTTTTGTCCCTTCGCTGATACATGGCACTCCTTTATGTTGTTGTGGGTGAAGCCTGGATCTAGCATTCGGCGCAGGCTTCTTTCGAAGAAGCAAAGAAGCAGACAGAGGATGCAGGTGTTTTGGATAGGGTTGCTCTTCTTCTTCATCCTTGTGATCTTTGTGGGATTCATTTTGGCACCGATCCTTGCAAGCAAAGTATTCCATGTCGACTTTGGTGAGATGCTTCCCGATATGCTTCAAGATTTGAGACAGCCCGAAAACTTATCCTTTAGGCACAGGGGAATTAGGAAGACCTCACGTACGCAATAAATCTCTGATCTTCTGAGCTGCCCTTTCTTCCTGAACAGCCTCAATCACCCTATGAATAAGTGAGTCAGGCGCAAGCAGCTTCACTAGGTCAAACCTCTTTAGAGTCTTCATATACTCAAGTCTGTCAACAAGCTGCTCTGCTGTAATTTCTGAATGACGGGGAAGGAAGTACGCTGCAGCCTCAAGGAAGAAGTCAAAGAACTCTGAGTCCAATCCTGAATATGCAAACATCTCTTCTATTTGGGCCTTTTCGAGCTGGAGTACGACTTTGTATCCATTGGCCTTGCGTTCAGGCGGTAGGGAGCTGAGTTTGCTTAAAACATGCATCGTTGGAATATCAGCAAAAGCTGTTTTGGGTTGAGGGGTCGGGCTTTCCCGTTCTGGAGTTTTCTTCTTATTTCCAAAGAGTTCACTTGCAATTGCATCGACGTCGGCTGATGAAGATTGTGAGGGTTGTAAAGGTTTCACAGCAGGCTTTCCATCGAGTTTTCTTCTGAACTCCTCGGGCAATTCGTCAACGATCTCGATAGGCACGTTGACTGGAGCTGAATTTTCAGTCTTTGGTTTCTTTGGTTCCAATTGTTCAAGTTCCGAGGCAGCAGCCTGGTTATTGGGATCAAGTTCTAGCGCTTCATTGAACGCACGTTTTGCCATGACGACACTTCCAGAACCTTTGGCTGTCAATCCTTTGCGGTACAAAAGCTTGACTTTGATCTTTTCGTTAGGATTCAAGCGCAATCCCACCTCTACGTCATTAGAGGCTCTGATCCAGTCTCTCAAATTGAGATGGCACTGGGCTCGATTGGAATAAAGCACAGGGTTCTCCTTGTCCAATGCAATGGCCTGAGAATAGAAATCGATGGCCTTTTGATACTGCTTCTCAACAAACGCCTTATTTCCCTGGGCCTTGTATTCGTCCAGCGTCGGCATGAAGAACCTACCGTGAAGAGTACGCAGTACTTTGAGGTTACTACTTGCGCGAGGTGATAGTGGATGCAAAAGACATAGATGCCATCTCAGGAACAGATCGAGGAGATTGACGCCATAAAGGCGATCTACCCTGAGAGTGTGAAAGAACTCACGCCTTCCATTTTCAACATCGTCATTCCAGACCACGAGGATGTGTTGGTGCAGATGAGTTTTCCAGACAAGTACCCAGAGGAGAGTCCGAACATAGTGCAGGTGAATACTACGGATGCCAGGAAATACTTTGACAATGACTATATCGAAAGAAAGATTATCGAGTTGTTGGAGCTGACGTTTCGCCCTGGCGAGGTGGTGGTGTTCGAGCTTATCGGTGAGATCACGGCTTTCTTGGAGGAGTATCTTGAAGAGCACAAGCAACAGATCGAGGAATTGGCCGCTCAGAGAGAGCAACAAAAGGCGAAAGCTTCTTCACCGACGCCTGCTCCATCTGCTCCAAAGGTTATATCCAACAGTACGCAAGAAGAGATTGACGTTTTCGAGGGTTGGATCAGCTCGGAGCCTATTCTTGACAGAGGCTCTACATTCATTGCATACGCTCGTGAAGTTCACTCTGTTGACGAAGCAAAACACTACTTTGGTCTTCTAACAACCGATCGCAAGATTGCCAAAGCTACACATAACATGAATGCGTGGAGAATCAAGGGCTCTAACGGAGTTACTTTCCAGGATTGCGACGACGATGGTGAAACAGCAGCTGGAAGCAGAATGCTACATCTTCTTACGGTATGTCTTTATCGGAAATAATCGGTTCTATTATACTAACTTACAGATTATGGATGCGTGGAACGTGATAGTGGTGGTGAGCCGATGGTTTGGCGGAACCCACTTGGGGCCCGATCGTTTCAAACATATCAATTCGGCCACCAGAGATGCAATTGTGAAGGGAGGTTTTGAGACGAAAGTTAAGAAATGAGATTGACCACAGCCGAAGCGTGTCACCCATTTAGGAGCTCTGCTTCTTTGGCTTTTTGCTCTTTTTCAGAGGCTTATCGGATTTCTCTGATTTTTCAGCCTTCCGCTTCTTGCCCTTCTTGGACTTGCCCATGATGTCGTTGAGGAATTCATCAGCTTCCTGCGATTTGTCCTTCTTGGGTGCTGGTTTTTCTTCCTGAACTTCTTCTTTTTCCGGTTCAGAGTCTTCAGCAGTGAACGAAGCTATGCTTCCGTACCCAACAGTGCTAACTTTCATAGCTGGTTTGATCTTTTGCTGGACTTGCCCACGGTTGGGAAGAAACCACTCGGAGGGGTCTTTGACTCGTTTGTATGTGGTAGGCTGGTTGCTTGGAGGGGTCTTATTGTCCCCTCCTTTCATGAACTTCATGTTCAACACATTTTGGGAGAGACCGGCCATTGTTGGTACCTTGGAGTTGATGCGATGCTACCATACATAAGCCATAGTCAAGAGATGCACGTGACCACATGCAAAATATTGCAATTAGGACGGCTTTTAAGGCCAGGAGCGAGCCTATTCTAATGAATTATAAAATAAGACTCCGAAGTCTTTCAAAATTTGTGATAACCTTGGTAATTCTGTGCTTGCAAAGCTGTCAGTGGCTCATTCAAGAAGAAGTGTTACCCGGCTATTCTCACTGGCGAAGTCACCTTCATGAGGCAATGTCAGCATTTCAAAATTCTAAAGCGATATTCGATTTTCATTCTAAAAATTTCTTGAATTCGGTACGGTTGGTCGATGGGTTTCTTCGGTTCGGTTGTGATATTCCTGCATTTGTGAAAGGCCCCATCGCTCTCATCGCTGAAAAACGCAGGCTTCTCAAAAAAGGAAACCACCATAAATATGAAGTCCGACTTTAAGCTTTCGAATTTGGTCGGAACCGTTTATCGGGAAGGCAATCTTGTTTTCACAGATGACGGTACCAAGCTCATATCGCCAGTGGGCAACAGAGTATCCTGCTTTGACTTGATCAACAGCAGATCGTTCACATTCAACTACCAGCATCGCAAGAACATAGCCAGAATTGCATTGAATAAACAAGGAACTTTGATGTTATCAGTTGATGAAGATGGAAGAGCCATTCTTGTCAACTTCGTGTCCCGAGTGGTCTTGCATCATTTCAACTTCAAGGGCACTGTGAGGGATCTCAAGTTCAGTGACGATGGCCACTACTTTGCTGTCGCTGTGAACAGATACTTGCAAATCTGGAAGACTCCAGACTTCACGGAAGATAGGCAGTTTGCTCCTTTTGTCAGACACAGAAACTACGCTGCACACTACAACGACGTGCTTTCCGTCACCTGGTCTCCAGATCTGCGATTCGTCCTTTCTACATCGAAGGATCTTTCAGCCAGAATCTTTTCGGTTGACAATGAAGACAAGGCTGCTGCTTCTACTCTCCATGGTCACCGTGACTACGTGATTCTGGCTTTCTTCAATGCTACACAAGAGATCATCTACACTGTCACCAAGGATGGTGCTTTGAACCAATACGAGTACATCGAGGGCGGTGATGACGAGAATGAACAAGAAAACGATTCAGAAGACGACGAAGAGATGAAGACGGAGGAAAACGCTGACACCGGACGCTGGCGCATAACGTCCAAGAACTTCTTCCGTGTTGAAGGCGGCAACGTCCGTTGTGCAGCTTTCCACGCTGTCTCCAATATGTTGGTTGTTGGATTCACCACCGGTGAGTTCCGTCTTTACGATCTTCCAGAATTCTCCCTCATTCAGTCGTTGTCGATGGGCAAGAACGCCGTTGACACTGTCAGCATCAACAAAAGCGGCGAGTGGTTCGCCTTTGGCTCGTCCAAGGCCGGCCAGCTTCTCGTGTACGAATGGCAGAGTGAATCCTACATTCTCAAGCAACAAGGCCATTTTGATGCCATGAACTGCTTGTGCTACTCGCCTGACGGATCCAGAGTGGTGACTGCTTCAGACGACGGCAAGATCAAGGTTTGGGATATCAACTCGGGCTTCTGTCTTATGACATTCACCGAGCACATTGGCGGTGTCACCGCTATAAGCTTTGCCAAAAAGGGACAGGTGATGTTCTCTGCTTCTCTCGATGGTACCGTCAGAGCATGGGACTTGATCAGATTCCGTAACTTCAGAACCTTCACTGCGCCCGAGAGAGTGCAATTCACAAGTTTGGCGGTCGACCCCAGTGGAGAAGTTGTGGTTGCAGGATCTCAGGAAGAATTCGAAATCTTTGTTTGGTCGGTCCAGACCGGTGCACTTCTCGACTCTTTGGCTGGCCACGAGGGTCCTATTTCCTGTCTTGCCTTCGGAGCCGAAGGCTCAGTTTTGGCCTCGAGTTCGTGGGACAAGACGATCAGAGTATGGAGCATTTTCAGCAGAACACAGCTCTCCGAGCCCATTGAGATGGAACACGATGTTTTGGCATTGGCAATGAGACCTGATGCTAAAGAGGTGGCCGTGAGTACACTCAACGGTTACATCCTCACACACGACGTGGAGCTGACGGAGCAGACACACTCTCTTGATATCCGAAAAGATGTTTTCGCTGGCCGCCACATGAACGACCGTTTTGAGCTGAAAAACAGCGCCAGATCGAAAAACTTCACCACCATTGCATACTCCTTCGACGGCCAGGCGTTGGTTGCCGGAGGAAACAACAACAGCATCTGTCTCTACGACATTGCCGACGAGGTCTTGTTGAAGAGATACGTCGTTTCGGAGAACATGTCTCTTGACGGTACGCTCACGCAGCTTAACAGTTCCAAGATCACCGACGCCGGTACCTCGATCGATGCCGTGGATGTTGCTGGAGAAAACTCCGACAGAGAGGACCGTATGGATACGTCATTGCCAGGATCCCACCGAGGCGACCCTGGAGCCAGAAACTTGCGTCCACAGGTCAGAGTCACCGGAGTGCAATTTTCACCTACCGCAGGAGCCTTTGGCGCTGCCACCACAGAAGGTCTTCTTGTTTACAGCACCGACCACACTGTGGAGTTTGACCCATTTGATCTTGACATGGACGTGACGTACGCCAACGTCGTGGAGAGCATTGACGAGAAGGAGTGGCTACATGCGCTCATCATGGCGTTCCGTTTGAACGAGCACCACTTGATTGAGAGAACCGTGGAGCTGGTGCCGATCAAGGATATCCGGTTGGTTTGCGCCGATCTCCCACACATTTACGTGGGCCGTCTTTTGGAGCATCTTGGGCGCAAGATGAACTCTGGCGAAGGAGCGCAGCACATTGAGTTCAATCTTCTCTGGGTCAAGGCGCTTCTTGACAGCCACGGGCCGCACATCAGTGCCAAAAAGGCCGAGTACGTTCTGGGGATCCGTCTCGTGCAGCGTTTCTTGAGCCGTGTGGCCAAGGATGTCGTTTCTGTGAGCAAGAAGTCTGGGTACCTCTATGGGTACTTGAAGGAGAACAAGCAGGAAGGGGAAGAGGAGGAGGAGCTCGATTTGGACGAGATCAAGGTGGACGAGAGTTCTGGCGATGAAGAGGAAGACGAGATGGACGAGGACGAGGAGGAGTGGACCGGATTCGAAGGAAAGTAGCCGTATAGCATTATAGAGTCGCATAGATACGAGAGGATATGCACGCCGCGTTTGCAGCCATTTCTTGGAAGCGGAAGTAGTAGGTGAGGCTGGCGATCGATTGTAACGTGGGGCGGCCCTGTGACGTTGCATTTGGAGGGATTTGTAGGATCGATACAAAAAATGAGTAAAAATCCTAGAGTTAATTGGAAAAGCTTATTTATGAAAAAGGGCCCCTAACACTGCCGCCTCGGCCGAATAGCGAATTAGCGTTTGGCCCCATGGGGAGAATCGCACTCTAGGTATCTGAGACAAAGCGGAAAGGTGAAGGATTAACCGAAACAGCCAGACGCAGGCAATTCCGTGAAGGAGTAGGAAGGATAATGAGGTGCAGAGAAAAAAGTGTCTCCAAAATGGAAACAAGCATGGAACAGGCAAAAGGCATGGAAAAAGGCATGGCTGGCATGGAAAAGGTGGTGCACTTTTTCTGGCTTTTTGCCCAAAATTGCGGTGAGGCTCGCCCCGCGCCGCCCGAAACAAGGCCTCCATTGAATTTTACGAAACAGAGGCCATTGGGCCCGAAAATACTGGCAGACCGGTGCTTTGCGGTCCGAGATTCCGCCTGGTGACAGTGGTTTTGCAAAAAAATCGCCCGTTTCCACGGCCAGCGTGGGTGCAAATAGCCGCTCTGCGCCGGGCGACCCCACACTAACAGGCTCCAGCGAAAAGACAGTTTTGAAATACCAAAGGAAGAGGGAAATTGAAATAAAGTCAATTTAGTCAATTTTTAAGAAGTTCAAAAAAAAAAAAAAAATTCTAAGGAATATTGTATTGGCCAGCCGTGGCCCCGCCTGGTGCTATTGTTGGACCATTGTGCGCAATGGCGTCAGCAGATACTCGGTGCTCACTCCGGCCCGGTCAACAAAAGGACAGTTTCACCAGGAGCCTATCCACCACTGCCTTGTGAAAACGGCAAAAACAACAGAAAAACCAAAAACAGCATCACCGGTTTCGGCGGGAATTTCCAATCTCACCCCCAAATTTTCGTCCACCCCAACTTTAACCTAGCCCACCCCGTCTTATCAACCTCACTCGCTTCGCTGCGACAACCACCTACTTCTTCTTTATGCCCCGAGACATCCAGAACCACTTGCTCTTCGAGGTCGCCACCGAAGTCGCCCACAAGGTGGGAGGCATCTACTCGGTGCTCAAGCTGAAGGCCCCAATCACCGTGGCCGAGTACAGAGAAAGGTACACCCTAGTGGGTCCGTTGAACTATGAGCTGGCTCAAATCGAGGTCGAGGAGATCCCATTGAAGGACGGCGCCATCAAGGCCGCGTTGGACGCCATGAGCGAAAGAGGCATCCGCTGGATGTACGGCCGCTGGTTGATTGAAGGTGCTCCTCGTGTGTTGCTTTTCGACATCCACTCAGCGGCACTGAACCTCAACGAATGGAAGGCCGACTTGTGGAGCTCTGCAGGGATCCCCACCCCCGACCACGACCATGAGACCAACGACGCCATTTTGTTGGGTTACATCGTGGCGTGGTTTTTGGGCGAGTTGGTCTACAACGACAGGGAGCGTGCTGTCATCTGCCACTGCCACGAGTGGTTGGCAGGCGTGGCGTTGCCGCTTTGCAGAAAGAGGAGAATCGACGTGACCACCATCTTCACCACCCACGCCACGTTGCTTGGCCGTTATCTTTGCGCTGGTCTGACCGACTTCTACAACAACCTCAAGCACTTTGACGTGGACGCCGAGGCGGGCAAGAGGGGCATTTACCACCGTTACTGTATCGAGCGGAGCGCCACCCACCTGGCCGACGTGTTCACCACCGTCTCGCATATCACCGCCTACGAGCTGGAGCACTTGTTGAAGAGAAAGCCCGACGGCGTGCTCCCCAACGGTTTGAACGTGGTCAAGTTCCAGGCCGTGCACGAGTTCCAGAACCTCCACGCCATGAAAAAGGACAAGATCCACGAGTTCGTCAAGGGCCACTTCTACGGCAACTACGACTTTGACCTCGACAACACCTTGTACTTCTTCATTGCCGGGCGGTACGAGTTCCGCAACAAGGGCGCCGACTTCTTCATCGAGTCCTTGGCCCGTTTGAACTACCGCTTGAAGCAGGCCGGCTCCAAGGTCACCGTGGTGGCCTTCATCATCATGCCCGGAAAAATCAACTCCTACACCGTCGAGACCTTGAAGGGCCAGGCCGTGGTGAAATCTTTGGAGAGCACCATTTCCGAGGTTCAAAAGAAGATTGGCGACAGGCTCTTCGAGCACTGTGCCCGTTTCCCCAACAGCAACAGTGTTTCCAGCACCAATGGCCAGGAGGTGCCTTCCATCGACGACCTCATCAAGCCCGCCGACAGAGTGCTTTTGAAGAGACGTATTTTCGCCTTGAAGAGAGACGGCCTTCCTCCAATTGTCACCCACAACATGACCGACGACGCCACGGATCCCATCTTGAACCACATCCGTCGTGTGCAGCTCTTCAACAAGCCCGAGGACAGAGTCAAGATCATCTTCCACCCTGAGTTCCTCAACGCCAACAACCCTATTTTGTCGCTTGACTACGAGGAGTTCGTGCGTGGTTGCCATTTGGGTGTGTTCCCTTCGTACTACGAACCTTGGGGCTACACTCCTGCTGAGTGTACGGTCATGGGTGTGCCTTCCATCACCACCAACTTGTCTGGTTTCGGTTGCTACATGGAGGACCTCATTGAGAACACCAGCGACTACGGTATCTACATTGTGGACCGTAGACAAAAGTCCGTGGACGACTCCATCAACCAGCTTGTGGACTACATGTTTGACTTTACCGAGAAGACCCGTCGTCAAAGAATCAACCAGAGAAACAGAACCGAGCGTTTGTCCGACTTGTTGGACTGGAAGCGCATGGGTCTCGAGTACATCAAGGCTCGTCAGCTCTCGTTGAAGAGGGCCTACCCGGACAAGTTCAAGAACGGCGCCAATCCGTTCCAGAACTCGCTGAATTTGAAGTTGACGCGGCCATTGTCGGTGCCCGGCTCGCCACGCTCTAAAGCCGGCGTCATGACTCCTGGCGATTTGGGTTCGTTGCAGGAGGCTGCCCAGGCCCTCAACACTGAGGACTATGTGAGCTTCAAGTTGGGTGAGAACGAGGACGACGAGGACGAAGACACCCACTACCCATTGACTTTGCGCGGACTGTCTGCGCCACCGCAGGACGAGTGATGTAAAAAAACAACAATTTTTTTGAATCGAAACAAATCCCACATTTAATTTTTAGCCAGAAAAGCGAGTAGTTTTGCAGCCAGGCGTGCGCGCACCACAACATCTAAATATCACCAAGATTGCACCAACTATACTTCCTCATCAAAATGGTATGTTCAAGCTGCACAAATCACCCAAATTTTACTAACTCCAGTTACCTCTCTTTATGCTCACCAGCGTCAAGAGCCAGGAGATTCTCGTTGAATTGAAAAACGGCGAGAGTGTCTATGGCAAATTGACTGACTGCGATTCGTGGATGAACTTGACTCTCTCCGACGTCGTCGTCAACTACAACAAGGGCGAGAAATTCAACAAACTCAATGAAATCTACATAAGGGGAAGCCACATCAAGTTCCTCCGGTTGCCCGACCTGGTATGTACACCCAAAATCTTGCAATATTCCAATTTATACTAACCCACAGGTCATGGACCACGCCAAGGAGCAGACGCTCTTAAGCCAGGAACAGAGAAACAGAAACCAAAAGAGGAAGGGCGGATTCCAAAACAGAAGATTCAATGACCACCGCGAGGGCCGTGGCGGTCACCACCGTGGCGGTCACAACCGTGACGGTCATGGAGGCCAGGGCCAGAACAGAAGGTACAACCAAGCTCTGGCCTAGATACGAAGCAACGACATCATCATAGTGAGGTGTATTAACCAGACGGCCGCGTTTGTGGCAGTCGGGTCCCAGTGCCAGTGCACTGGGTCTGTATAATAATAGACACTGCGACCTCAAGCTCATTTGCACCCAAAAGTGCAACCCACCTTCTATTGCTTTCACCTAGTAGATCTCTTGCTATGTTTCGCTATGACCCTAGTCGCAAAAGAATGGTCCATATTCGGAAACGCACGGGCCGAGGGGGCCTCGAATCAAAACCTGGAAGGGTACGGAGAGGAATGTACAAAGGTGACCCAGACACAAGACAAGAACGGTGCTTCCAGCAACGCAGATGCCGTCTGAAACATGCCATATGTCCCTGGTGCCGCCACCTCTCGTACGTGCCTTCTCGGCTTACAAAGCCGTATGATCCTAACGCAAGGCAGTCAACAATTGTGAATAAATTGGGCTGTTTGATGGCACAGCTCCAGAGTTGCCAGAACGACCTTATACAAGAAGTTTCCAGCGTTTCCAGCTCCGAAACCATCGTGGTCGGCCCAACGATGGTCACATGCTCCACGTACCACCCTCCAATGATTGTTCGAGCCAAAGAGCAAATATCCAAACTCACCAGTCGATTATGGGGCCAACAGAAACGGCCACACAGCGAAAAGCTGCATTGTGACTTGGCCAGAAGCCGGGTAAAACCACGCACAAGAAGGCAAAGACCAGCGTCAAGTCCGCCCAGTCTGACAGAAAAACATGTCCGTAAAGGTCAGGACGCCTGCGCCGCTTAGACCAATGAAAACGCCGCCTAGACCCACGAAATCGACCAGCTTTTCAAGTCCTCACGGTACAGCTCCTCGCCCACAAGCCCGCTGGAGTCTCTTTCTCTGCTTTTGTCGCTTCTGAGAAGCCTGCCGAGGTCCTGGTAAACAGGCAAGCCTTCTCTCCAGTTCTCGTCCGGCCCAGAATTAAATATGTGCTCCACGACCTTTTCAGGAGGCACCCTGAGCAATTCAAGCATTTCCGGATCCCACGCCGACTCAAGCACGTTTCTGTAGAGCCCGCTGACGATCGGGTCCATGATGATATTGTCGTAGGTCTGTCTGGTGGGAGTCTCTTTCTGTTCGTTTTGCGGTTCCTTCTGTTCCTTGGGCTCCTTTTTCGATCTCTCTTCTTCGCCAGACGGTCTGTGGCTCTCCTCCGGGCTCTGTGAGTTGATCACGCCGTCCAAGCCGCCTAGAACTGCCTTTTTCAGGAACAGCGGCACATTGAAGCTGGAGTCGTTCTTCTGCAGCTGGGACAGGGAAGCCTGGTTGGAATGATGATTGGAATCTTCGATTTGAAGCTGCGTCAGGAACTCAAAGTCCGACGGGAGTTCCGAAAGCCCCACGCTGAAGCTCAAAATCGAGTTGACCTTGGAATCCTGAAGCAAGTACTTGGCGGTGACGGGACCGGAGAAATTAAGGTACTCGGCCAAATTGAGCTCCACTCGCCCGAGCTCCTGGTTGCCCTCGAACTTGGACGACTTCTCGCCCATGTAGTACACCTTGAGCAACAAGTACTTGTTGCCGATCATGTTATCCTTCTTCTTGTAAGGAAACCGCAAATTGCACGAAACGTTGTAGTTGAACAGGCAGCGGAAGTTGTGGATTTTCCTTTTTGATGTTCTTACATGGACATGACCTGATGTGGACAGTTTGGACTCGGTGTCATGGGAGTCATCCTTGACTGGTTTCCACAGAGACAAAGCAGCTCGGAGTCCTCCGTGACCGTCCTGGACAAAAACATCAACATAGCAGTATCCCGTCGTATGGGGGATGTTCGAGAGCTCCTTGATGTTGAAGTCTAGCTTGAACTTTGGTTTTTTGGTAGAAAACATGGGTGTTGATACTTCGCAACCTTCACTGCAGACATCGGTTAGGTCGGTAGGGCACCATGGTTGCTGATACACAAAGCCCTACTTAATAAAAATTTGATGTTGGGAAGTGAGTTTTGGAATTGATTGGGTGGGTAAATGGTGAGTGAATGGTTGGATTTGGGATGTTGGAGCTGTGGTGCATTATGGCGATGAGTTAGGTGATGATGCACTGGATGAGGCTGGAAGTGCAATTGAGGCTGGAAAATTAATTGGGATCTGAGGGGGAGGTTTTTGGAGTTTTGTTTGAATTAGAGGAATTGAAGCCTTTGTGGGGTTAGGAGGTTCGTGGGATACTAATGTAATTGGATGCTGGTGCATAGTGCTGGTTGATGGCTGCGATGCAGATACTCGATAGTCTGATCATCGTATTGATTTCAAGAAAGAAGCCTAAGATAATTGAAATGTTTCTGAAAACTGTCGCTTCTTTGAACGATCACATTTCATCGAGAACTGCTCTTTTTCTGTTAGTATGGCTTTGGATAGGCTGACTTGATAGACCATGGTTCATAAGACTAAGGAACAGATTTGCTTAAAATGGGGTTATTATTCAAAAATCAGCTTACTTATTTGAAGTAGAAGGAGCCATTATTAAGAATCCAAACCAGAGAACAAGCATCTATTCTATGGAGTTGTGGCTCTGAACCAGTACATTACTACCATGCTACTACCATGCTTATACTAAAATGATCACAATTTCAGCCCATTTTACAGCTATTCAAGTCTGCAACACACAAGTGACATCTATATTCCTCTACCAACAAGTGTAGACTTGTATACTTAACACATTACCATGAGGCCTATCACTCCACAACCACCATACCCAACACCACCATATCCATCATCAAATACCAAAAACCTACCTTCTACACAAATAAACACGTCCTTAAACAACACCAATAACCTCCATCACAATCATAATGCCACCCCTTAGTCCAAACTTTATCTATATAAGCCCTCTGACATGCTTCCTGCCTGTCTCGGTTAGACCCCTCCTTTTGGGCTGTCACCAACCAATTCCCATAAAAACCCCTTGCCACCCTGAATACCCCGCAAAAACTATAAATACAGCCCATTTCCCCCGAATTCCACAAAAAAATAAAATTCCTCCCGGCCCTAGACCACTTCACGCTGCACCCTCCGTATGTCGCATACGCAGTTGCAGCCACCCTAGCCCCACCCAGTCGGTCCACCTGCCCCGCCACACCAACGAAAATCCCCAAAAACTATAAATACCCGGTCTTCCCACCTTTTCGAAACAAAACCACTTTTTTTCTTATTTTCCTCTGCCCCGTGCTCCCCGTACACCACGTCTCATTGTCGTCGAGTGGAATGTCCCGCCGTGCACACACTACAGACGCACGAAAACACCATCGTCAAACGGCTGGATATCAAAACGTCTATTACTATGTTGGCTGACGGCGAAAGAGCATACGCGGCTCCCGCGTCGCTCAAGCTGCTGAAATACGCGTTCATGCTGATGTTGTTGCTACGAGTGCTCAATTTGGACGACGAGCTGGAGATAACAAAGCTGTCGGGTTTGAAGCAATCCTTGAAGGGTTCAGAGGCCCAGGAGATTCTTCCACAGATCACGGTGCCGCCCACCTTGTGGCTCGAGGACCACGTGGCCTTGACGGAGCTGAAAATCAAAGTGGCCTTGTTGAAGGAGATAAACGGCATGCTCTACAAGAACGTCCAGACCTTGCAGCTGGACGAGATCTTTTTGTTGGACGACACGACGCTCTTGTACTACGAGAAGCTTCTTAACGCGTACGACTTCCTCAAGTTCAACCGGACGGTGCCTCTGTTCGAGGCGTTTCGTGAAGACGACGAGTACGAGGACTACGACGATGTTTCCATGTATCCGGAGATGCTGCGGCGTACTTCGGCCTCAGACCTCGCCCGCCCGGGCTCCTCCGCCAGACTGGTGAGCTCTGGAAGCTACAAGTCTCGCATGTCCACGCTCTCGAGAGATTTCCGGAAACTCTCGTTTTTGGGGCTCAATGGACACGAGGAGAAGGAGGAACAGCCGCCCCTGCCCATTCTGCCCATGTCGGCACCTCAACGGTCTTTTCTGAGCTCTGCGGCGCTGCCACACCCTCATAGAGACCAGTTCAACACGCTTTTGCTGAAGCTGAAGTTCTACAACAAGTTGCGCCGGCGAGATTCGGGGGCTTCGTACTCGAGCGCTCTTTCAACGCCGACGAGCATGACAAGCAATACGTCGAACTCGTCAATCAGACGCAAGTCGTCGCAAGCCTTCCCGGATAAGCCACCCAAGGAACGACTCTCAGAAGCGCAGAAACAAGAGAACCAGCGCAGCAAGCTAGAATACTACGTCCAGGTACGGGAGCTTGCCGAAAATACCCAGGTGCTAGTGAACTATCTCGGCAAACCGGGCTCCCGAGCCTCGCTTGTGCGTCTCATGGACTTTGTCAAGAATAATGTCTTTCGGTTGGTGCTCATCGACATCTCCGCCATGATCGTCGACTACGCCCACCTCAAGGCCTGCCGGGTTATTTAGCCCGGAGCTACATCCCCTATGAATGACGATTGTATTATATAATGACTAATATACAGAGGACGGTATCTATTTGCAAGACGAGAGCATCTGGGAGATGACACTGAGAAGCTGGTCGTTCTCACACGCGGCAGCCACACGCTCCTTGTCGTTGAGCTGCTTGTTGACCTGGTTCTCCGACTGGTGGGTGCCCTCCTTGATCAAAATCCTGATTCTGAACCTGGGTGGAAGGCATCTCTCCAAACGGACCCTGATGCCGAGCCCGATGAGCGTGGCCAACGAGCAGTGGGTGATGGTAGGGGTGATCCGGATGAGTACCTCCGAAAGATCGTTTTTAGTGGCTCCGTGGGTCACTGTGATATCCGGTAGGTTCACCACAGCCAACTGAGCCAAAGTCAAGGGATGCTCAGGGTCAGAAATGGTAGCAATAAGATCAAACACCTCCTGGGCATCGATAGGGTCCTCCTCCTCCTCGAAATCCTCCTCGATGGATTCGCCAGAGTCCGAAACCAAGTCTGGAGTTTCCTCATCTGAAGCAGCGTTGAGGTCATGAGGCACCCTCAAGGAAAGGGCAGTAATACGTTCCACAAGCTCCTGGCCTGGGTCATTCTTTTTGATGTGTGTGTCACGCGTAGGCAAATTTGCCACGTCGATCACCGTGGGGTTTGCGTTGATCGGGTCGGACATGGAGGAGAGTAGTTGGAAATGGATGGATTCTGATTAGTGATATTGCGAGTGCAGGACCCCGATAAGGATGACCTGGGGAGGTTGAGTATAAGAGATGTATATGGGAAGTGGAGGGTGGGGAATTAAATAAAAAGGGCTATTGGTAATTGTTTGTTTGCTTTTTGGTGATTTTCTGGTGTTGGCGGTGTTTTTGGTGAGGAGTTGGTTGGGTCATATGGCTGCGAAATGTGCTACAGTGATGGAAGTGAAATATTTTGATGATTCGTGATGACGGGGATATTTTCAGGATTTGGGCAGAAATTATTTTGATTTGCTACATTGTGAAGGAAGACCCCTTGCGTGGATGTGAGATGATATAAAAGGCAACATGCCCAGACGTCTAGGTACATTGTCGTCTTGATTTGTCGAAATGTCAAGGTCCTTTTGTGGACTAAAGTGGGATTCATTACTCGCTTGTTACCTATATCTCTTTGATTATTGCAATTGGAAAAGCTGACAGATTTTCAAAACCTCTCTGTAATGCCCTCTCGCTATGCACATTCACTGATCCACTGATTCGGCATTTGGCCCAGTTTCGTAGTTTCTTGTAATTTGCCAAAAAGTACAGAAATCTTCAAAGTTTCCTTATACGTCTTATTAAACTACTCTGCCTAAAATGAATGACCTCATTCTCGGCCTTTTCCATCTAGGCAAGTCCAATAACCAGGTACATATAAAGACCACTCCCCACACCTTAACCCAATTCCCACTTTTCCAAATCACACCAATCCTTAAACAAAAACACTATCCTTTAAAAACTTCACCAATCCTTCAAAAACAAACAAAATGTCCCTCGTTTACGACGACCCTCCACCCAGTTACGAATGGGTGCAAAGTGAGACACAGGAAGGCCCATCTACACCCAAACAGGAAGACAAGCCCAAGGAGTCTCCGCTCAGAAAAATCAAAAACAACATCTCCAGGGCCTTCAGATCGGCAAGCAACGCCAACTCATCCAGAAAATAGGTTTCAGGCGGAAAAACCTAAAACACCCTAGGACCCACCCTCGGTCCTGTCTGCTGCATTATCAAGACTTACAAACTACTACTACCACTTTTCATGGAATTCTACAACACACACCAGATTCAGCAGCTAGCGCCGCTTGTGACGCTATCTTTGCATGACACCGATGCTGCAGCTCATTTGAAATCACATTTGCAGAAATCAGACATTGCCAATTGCATCTGGGACAACAGCATACTCAAGAACCGTCTACTGAGTGCCAAATACGTGCTTCAGTTTTGTGACGAGGCCGACGCCAGAGCGAAGATCGAAAGAAAGCCAAAAGAAGAAGGCACCCACTCGGCCACGTCGCCGTTCAACGCAGATAGTGACCTTTTTCCAAACGGCATACTCTCGGAAAAGTGGTTCACCAAATACACACAGAGCTTGCCTTTTGCGCTCGTGCAAATACACATTTTGGGTGATCCTGCGGACGACGAGGCCTTGGGAGAAGAACTAGCCGCTCAAAGGCAACGCTATGCCGATTGGCGGGTCAAGTATGTGGCTGTATTGCTCTCGGATGGAGACCCCATAGTGGACCAGGACAGGATCGACAAACTACGCTTGCTCTCGGGGCTTCCTCGGCTCACGGGTATTTTCTATCTCAATTCGGACAAGGACACCTTGGAGAGAGACTGTGGGATCCTTGCATCAAGTCTATTCAACAACTTGAAGGCTCCAGCTGCAGACTTCTACTCTGGCATAGAGGCTAGACTCAAGCAGAGGTACAAGAAGTACTACACAATGCCTTCGTATGATGCCGTGGACACCAAGGTCGACCTTACACCCAAGGTGTTGGAGGTGAGGAACATGATCAAGCAGGCGATAATCCTTCAGCTCATACACCCACACAATGTGGAGTCCAGCTTTGCCATGTTGGAGTCGTCCTACGAGCGACTCATTGATTTGACTGCGGACCATGCTGACGTGTTCTTTAGTGAGTCGGTTTCGGAGCACGATACTCGGTTGTACGCCCAGTTCAGGCAGCTTTTGGATGTCATAGCGATCCACCTCATACGTGGGTACCTCTCCACCGAAGAGCCCACCGCTGCATTGAGAAAGCATGAAGCACACATTGCCAACGTTCTTTCGCTTTGTAAGGACCAGTCCAAATCAGACAATGCCGCCTGGGTTTCTGTTCAGTACCAGTGGCTTGCGGAGTTGATGCAAATGGTGCCTCCTTCTGTTCTCAGTGACCTCGAGTTGAGCCACCAAGTCAAGCAGAAGTCTTATCAAAATAGCGTTGCCTACTTTGGCGGCTCCACGTTCCACGATACATTCAATTCTACCATCACCACCCAGGCCTTTTTGATCTTCCTTAAGGCGTTCACCAAACTGAAGGAGACGGAAGTGGGTCAGATCCAGCTCCCTTATTTGAAGAAGCTCGATAGTGCTAAGGAGCTACAGAGCAGAAGAATTGGACTTTTGGGTATGGCCAAGGATGCACTCCAAGCAAAGGCACAAGACAACCAGCTCGATGGTGTTCTGAGCTATTTGGACTGGCTTTTGGCTGAGGAGCAGTTTTACAACGAACAGTATGAGGATGCCGAGCAGACTTATCGTGCAATCTTGGATAAAAAGCTCCCGCATGGGTGGAGAAGTATAAGACAGCTACTCACGCAACGTCTTGTTGACATCTACAAGAAGCTCAATTCTAGTGACAAGCTCATTGAGACTGTCACTGTATTGGCATCCCAAAAAGGTGTTACTCATGGTCCATCCATTGAGAAGCTCACATTGGACCGGTCTGCTGAAATCAATTTTGACTCTAGGGAAAACTTCTTCACTGTGGAGGTCAACTTGTTCAACTCGAACTTGAAGAAAGAGTTCTTTGCATTTGACACCATCGTCACTCAGTTAGCATTCAGCCAGACCTTTTCAACCGGTCAATTACAAGAATTCGTCACCAATGGCACAGCACAGCTTTCTATTGAAAAGGTTGTTGTCAACTACGAAGGGCGTCCAATCCTGATCAAAAACCAAGAGGCAGGGAACAATTTCAGTCAAGTGCAGCTTGGGGATGTGTCAGAGTACAATGCCGATCTTTCAATAACCGACAACAGTCACACCCTACAAATTCTCGACGAAGTTATAGAGCCTTGCAAGTACAAAATCGAGTCAGTGGAAATATCCTCCGTGTTCACCATCAAAGCAAGTGGCCATACTGTCACCTTGAGAAAGTCAGAGATCCACTCTCTTTTGACCAGCAGAAACCAAGCTCAATCGTTCACGGCTTTGATTAAAGATGGCGACAGTTTGAAGCGAAACGTTATTCGTGCTCAGGGCCAGGATGCCTTCGAATGCACAGTTCAACCCTACAAGCCAGATGTCAGTGTTGATTTGTCTCAGCCACTTGCTTCCATCATTATGGGTGAAAAGATCGAGATACCACTTAGGATATCTTGCAACAAGGCACCCAGCCACAAGGCAAACTTTTCATCGTTGAATATTCAGCTCAAGAGCAGACTTCTAGAAGGCGAGCAAGAACAGGAGTATCTCGTTCCTCAGACGAACTGGAAGGACTTGAAAGACGACGAGGACTTGAGTATTCTCGATCTGTTTGGTGAAAGTGATGGTAACGTTGAAAGTTCAATTCAAGTGAGCATACGCAAACCACCAAGTATGCTGCCAAAACTGGACATCAAACTTGTGCTTGAGATGCAATTGCTAGTGGGAGAGTCCAACAAATCCTTATCGGTATACGACCTCAAGGTCATTGATGTGCCTGTTCTCTGGAGGCCTTTCCTGACTAAACTCGGCGTCACTCCTCGGTATAGAGAAGACTCATCGCTTGATATGAAGAATCCGTTTATTTTGTCAGACAAGGAAGGAGATGTGGACAAGAACCTATCGATGCCTTCTCCTTCCCGTGTTTGGGCAGCTGAAGCAACCATCAAAGATACCCATCAACTTGTTGAGAAGAACTCCATAACCATCAAACGTTGTCTATTCACATTGAGATCGAAGAACCCAGAGGTGGAGGTGCAAACCATCGAAGATGTTCGTCAAAGCGCTTTACATGCATCTCAAGTGTTTGTGTCAAATTCCCGTCATCGGTACTCGCATAGGCTGATTGGCGTTGCTGTGTCAGCACTCTACATTTGGACAAGAGGTGAAAATGGTCCTGAGAACGAATTTGAAACAGACGAATGGGAAGTCTCTTTACCTTTACAAGATCCAAGGGTGCTTTTGCATTCTGCTGTGACAGAAGACGGAAAGACGGTTCTCAAGTACGTCATCGAGAACCCCACATCGAGAATCTTCACCTTCACGACAACCTTGACTACAGAGGAGAGTGCTCTTCGTGGAGTGAACTGGAGATTTGAGGACGACAGCAATATCGTTCCCTTGAAGCAAGGCGCTTTCCCTGTATTGCCCTTTAGCAGACATGAGATGGTGTTCACTGGAACCTACGAGGTCGATGAGGATGAAGCCATTGAGCAGGTGGAGCTTCCGCAAATGCATGTGTACGACCTAAACTACAAGGTGAGCCTTCCAACGCTTCCCGTTAGCGAGAGCGTGGTTGCCCAGGGTGAGAGGTTGTACATGAAGACGTAGCGGTTGCGATCAATTGACTATGACGGGAGCTTAATTAACGCCCAACAACTCGACATCGAAGATCAAGGTGGCATCAGGTGGAATAAGACCTGGGAAGCCTCTAGGACCGTAGGCCTCGTGGCCTGGAATGGTCAACTTGGCCTGAGAACCAACAGACAACTTGGGGATACCAATGTCCCAGCCCTTGATGACCTGACCAACACCAATGGTGCACTGGAAAGGCTTGCCTCTGTCACGGGAGGAGTCGAACTTCTTGCCGTTCTCCAAAGTACCGGTGTAGTGGATGGTGACGGTGTCTCCGATCTTTGGGAAGACCTTTCCGTCGCCTTCCTGGATTGTCTCGATCTCGGTAGTTTTAGGAGCCATTGCGATAAAGGAGGATGAAAACTGTCTGCGGCAGGTAGCTATGGAGGGGTTGAATACGGCAGATCTGCTTAAGCGAGCTAGCATTCAATGAAGAAGAGAAGGGAATGGAACCGACATTGCCTGAGTGAGGGATAGCCGTATGGGAGGTACGGGTGTGTGGTGAGATGCGAGCGACGCTTTGGGCCGGGAGCAGTGACGTTTGAGAATATTGCTAGCGGTTGGTGTGGGCTTATATGCAGGATGCAATTAAGGCACCACTTTTTTGCTAGCTGGAAGGTGCTTTGTGGAGGCGTCGGGGAAGGTTTGAAGATCTGGGACGTTGTTATGGCAATTGCTGTTTGGTTATTTATTCTTGGAAGCCGCACGTGACTGGAGTCAAATGGCTGCAAAGCCTCCTTCTCCGTGCATCTGGCACCACAGCCGGGAAACCAACACAGCCCAATTCTTTACGAAACTCTACCACTCGTTTAAGGTTCTGTACCTGGTTGTTGCGGTGTTCATCACGTCACAGGATTGCTTTTTTTGTGTGTTCTGGGTGCAGCTTGCTCTGCTGGTCTGTCTACACAGTGCGACTTATCGCAAATTCAATCAATAAGCCTACTGTGCAAGAGGGCAAAACAGCTTAGAACTGCGTTATCGGCGGCTCTACAATTGCACACCCGTCAACACTGCCATATACAGCTAGAGTGAAAAATGGGCATAGACGTTCGTGTGGATGTGGACCGGCGGGAGAATGGCGGGACCTTCACCAACTACGATGTGATCCAGGGAACCGTCCGTCTCACCACTACAACTTCGATATCGTTAACGTACATCCAGGTGAAGCTTGAAGGCGTGGCTACCACACAAATGACGGTTCCTCGGACGTTGAAGAGGCGGAAGGAGAAGGAAAACAGAGAGAAGCTTCTTCAGGACGTGCACAAGGTGCTCTACGATTCCGTCATTGTCTTTCCGCCAGAGAACATCCGGAATGTCTCCAACTCCAAGGAATTCACGTTGACGCCGGGCGATTATACCTATCCTTTCCAATTTAAAATACCTTTGAACAACTCGTGTGTAAAGACACTGGGCATCACGAACAAAGTGCTGTTCAGCAGAGACAATCGACTGGTCTTGGTGAACAATGGCAATTTCAACACCAATTTGATCAAAAACGTTGCTCAGAATTACTTTCAAGCTTATTCCAACCAGGGCCAGGGTCCTCCGGAAGTACCCAAGAACCAGACGTATCATGTAAATACCCAGCTTCCACCGTCCATTAGCGACATGGGTCTGTTCGCCAGTGTACGTTATTACGTCAAGGTGACGTGCAAACGGTCCTCTGTTTTCAAGACCAACATCCGAGCGTTCGATCCATTCACTTTTCTTCCACTTGATTTAGACAGTCATAACCGCCCGCTTTTCGAGGGACAGCAGTTTGAAGAGTTCCGGGAGGTGTTCTACAGGAAAGACATGGTGTTCAAGAACAGAATCCCCGAGATTGTGGGCATCAAGGTGTCGAAGAAGCCACCTGCTGACTACAAAAAGGCCCTCCCCAGCACACCTCCGCTACCCCAGAGGAAGTCCTTTTTATCGTCATTTCTTGGAGGCACTCCATCACCACCGACTCTACCGACAAGACCTTCTTCTTCTCGAAGATCCAGTAATAGCAGCACGACTACACGGCAAACCAGCGCTGCCTACGAAATCAGCGCCTCCAATGTGCCTTTCAGTTTTGAGGTTCGCTTCAAGTACCGCTCATACCTTATACCCTCGCATTTGCCCACATTCAAGCTCTACTTGTTGCTGCACCACAACCCTGCAAGGTACTCGCTTGCTCAATATGGATACCAGGAGGAGTCGAACGGTCTTGGTGTGATCTACTTCCAGAAGCTTACAGTTGAGTTGCGCAGCACCACCAATATCACTGTTTTAGAGACGGATGGTGCTGGAGAAGTTATCCACCAGGGCAAGTCGGAGGAGGTGATTCAGTTGTGTAACAATACCTACCAGAACCTCCAGTTTGACCTTCACGATGCCAAAAAGCTGCGCTCGTCGTCAGCCACAAGCAGCAGCTATGTCGATACCAACGTGCATGAGCTCGAGATCCCTCGCAAGTACTTTGACAACTGCACTCTTCCAGATGGCCTTGCACCCACCTTCAAAACGTGCAACATCACGCGAAAGTACAATCTTGTCATCGTTGGCGGCTTTCTGAGCGAGCGAATCAGCGATTTCAAGGACCGTGCTGAGGTGGAAAAGAAGGTCCGTTACGTGGACTTGTTCTGCCCTGACGTCCAGGTGCTTTCTGGCCTCAAGCTTACGTCGTGGCTCCACTCGAATGCCTCCGAGTCGAATGTAAGCAGGACGTCCGATCTGAAGCCCTCGCTTCCTGAGAGACCTCCGTCCAGCCTGGGAACCGAGGAGCCTGCTGCCAATGGAAAAGAGGCCGAGAGCCGGCTTCCTACGTATGATGATGTTGTGAGAGAGAGCTCGTACCAGGACGACGGCGAGCACTTGCGGGTCCGCCGGCGGTACCAGAATTAGGTGAATTGGGGTGAAAGAGTGAGATTCATGGGTGTGAGATCGTCCAGTTGGGAGGAGCTTCTTGAGATTTCCAACACATACGCGATCAATTTCGAACAATTGTTACCCGTTCATGTCACTTGCTGAATCCTCTAATAGCCAAATTGCCAAACCAATCGCCACCCCAGACCAGTATCAGTCGCCCTCGGGCTCATGGCTGCAAACTCACGTCGACCTGCATATACCCCGTCCCACGGTCCTCCAGCTGGAGGCCACCGCCACCACCCCTAGACTAACCCTAACAGACAAAAGACCGTTTTTAGCCCCCAGAACCGCCTCTCGTTGCCCCCCTGCCTTTCCCCAGCCCAGCGCCTCCCGAATCGGCGCGGTTGCGCTCTCCCTATTTCTCGACTTCTCATTCGCAAGTTTTTCAGGCTACCGAAAAAAACCCACTCCAAAGATCAACCAGTCTCTTTTCCAGCGATCATGGCCGAATCAAGCTTTTTCGCCAGAAACAAGGCCGCCATAACCCTCGCGGTGCTTGCCAGCGCAGGTGCCGTCGGGGCTTATTGGTACTATGCCCAGCAACAGGAGCAAGGTCCATCTGACAAGGACGAGTCCAAGAAGAAGAGAAGCAAGAAGAAGAAGAAGACCACCGAGGAGCTGGCCGAGACCGCTACCCCAGGCGACGACCAGCCTCCTTACCCTGTCAACAGCAAGAAGGAACCAGACTTTTCCGACGAGCAGGTTGCCGAATTGACGGATGCTCAGAAGGAGGACTGGGCTGTTGCCTTGAAGACCACAGGTAACGCTCTTTACAAGCTGCAGAAGTTTGCCGATGCCATCAAGTTCTACACCGCTGCTTTGCGTGTCAAGGAGGACCCCGTGTTCTACTCGAACCGCTCTGCGTGCTACTCCTCGTTGGACGACCACGAGAACGTCATTGCCGATGCCAGTGAAGCCATCAGACTCAAGCCCGACTACGCCAAGTGCATCTTGCGCCGGGCCTCCTCGTACGAGGAGTTGGAGCGCTACACGGATGCCATGTTCGACTTGACCGCCTTGACCGTTTACGGTGCTTTCAACTCCAAGTCTGTCGAGCAGCGTTTGGAGCGTGTTTTGCAGAAACACTCCATCAAGCTTGTGGAGGAGCAGATGCGTAACAGAGTGCCCCAGTTGCCCTCTGCCGTGACATTGGCCTCTTTCTTTGGCGCTTTCGTGCACGAGACCAGCCCTGAAGGTGTCTCTGCTGAGTCTACTGGCGCCGACCGTCTCTTGTGGGAAGCTGCCGATGCCATCTACTCCAAGAAGGCTGAAAAATACGACGAAATCGACACCTTGATCCACAAGGCCACCACCGCCTACGAGGACGAGAAGGTCACCGCCTCTTCTCCTAACGCTACCAAGGCCACCATTGCCTACGAATACGCTGTACTTACTGCGTTCTTGAAGTACGACCGCGAGACCCTCGCTACCGTGCTCAACAGAGCGTTTGAGTTGAAGCCCAGAGCCAGAACCTACGTTGTCAGAGCCCTTGTGAACGCCGAAACCTCCACCATGGACCTGCTTCTCTCCGACTTCCAGAAAGCCGAGGAGATCGAGCCCGAGAACCCAGACAGCCCCTACCATAAGGGCCAGCTCTACTACCTCCACGGCGAGCTCGACAAGGCCGAGGCTTGTTTTGTGAAGGCCAAGGAGTTGAACCCTCAGAACCTCTTTGCCTACATCCAGCACGCTTGTGTCGTCTACAGAAAGGCTCAGTTTGACGATGCCGTGCGCTTGTTCGACGAGGCCAAGCTCAAGTTCCCTACTTCTCCCGAGGTGTTGAACTACTACGGTGACATTCTTGCCGACCGTGGCGACACCCCAGGTGCCATCAAGCAGTACGACATTGCCATTCGTTTGCAAAGAGACTTGCCTGGTGTCGGTGTCGGTGCCACTCCTTTGATCAACAAGGCCACTTTGTTGCAGAGAGACGGCTTGGACGAGAACGGCGAGACGGCCGATTTGCTCACCAGAGCTGCCGAGATGGACCCTAAGAACGAGGCTGCGCTTATTTCCCTTGCCCAGTTGAAGTTGACCCAGGACAAGGCCGACGAGGCTGTCGGCTTGTTCGAGGAGGCTGCTCGTTTGTCGCGCTCCTTCGACGACAAGGTGCTGGCCACGTCGTTTGCTGAGGCCACCAAGATGCAGTTGAGAATCCGTGCCGACCCGGAGTTGACCAGAAGAGTGAATGAGATTCTCCAGTCCCACGCTGCCGGTGTTCTCCGTTAAGCCGACTGTTGAAAAAGGAGAGCCACTGCTGGCGCCCGCCAGCGTCATCTGTATATACGGCCAATGCACACTATACCGAGAGGATGGTTAAAGTTTGAGTAGTGAGGTTTGAGTTGATGTTTTGCAACCATTTCGACACCCGTACACCAGCTTACCCCAGGTCGTCAGACCCTCCGCCAAAACCACCCAAACGGGGGAAAGTTGGATGTTTCAATAGTTGAGGTGGATGTTGAGGTGTTGCTGAGCTTGGTAGTGGTCTTGGAATCTCTGTGCGACGTCTGTGTGTGGAGGAAAGTCAACATGTGTCTCACAGCTGGCACCATATAATCAACCATTAGAATTTATTGCCACCAACCATCCAGCAATCAGTCGTTCGTCAACATAGTCGATGAACTCAGCCTACAAACTTTGCTTTCAATCAAAACTGCCTCAAGATCTCCCTCGCCTACTCCTCGTACCCTCACTCATTTGGTGCATTTTGCAGCCATTCCAAAACCACAAACCATGTACTTCATCAAGTCCGTTGTTTCCACGCCAAAACATACATTCAAAACCCCTCATACAACGCTCGATCTCACCTACATCACACCTCGGCTCATTGTGGCTGCTGGACCTACAGATACCTCCATTAAAGCAGTTTTCAGAGACAACATAGCCCATGTTGTAGCCCATCTCGATAGGTCCCATGGCAGAGGCAATTGGCATGTGTGGAACCTCAGAGGCGAAGGTCCAGGGTACGCTCTAAACGCCGTGGTTGGTCCTCATTGTTCGTTCAGGCCGTTTCCAGATCACCAGGTTCCCACACTCGAGTTGATGGAGCAGGTTGCGCTGGAGATATACGCTTTTCTCCAGAGTTCCAACAAAAACGTGGCGATGATCCACTGCAAAGAAGGCAAAGGCCGTTCAGGCACGGTTTGCTGCGGTTATTTGATGTACGAGGCTCAGAAACTGGGTGTTCTAGCTGGAGTGGACGAAATGGTTGCAAAATTCACTGTGCAACGAATGCGCCGCTTGTTTGGACCCGGGGTATCGATCGACTCGCAATTACGGTTTTTGGGCTACTGGAAAACGTACCTTGAGGTTCTGGAGGAGCTCAAGCTGGGGTATTGTGAAGCTCCGTTGGTGCTTTCCAGAGTTGTCTTTGATAAGCCTCACAAGTTGCTCAAACGGCTGCGGTTGGCTTTTTACAAGCACGAAGGGGGCGATTTGGCCAGTCTTTTGAGTTTTCCATTTTCCGAAACGTCCAAGAATATACTTCTTGACGTGGATTTGCCGTTGAAGGGCGTTTCTCTCGTGAAAGTTCTGGTAGAGTCTCCTGGCACCAAATGCTACTGCTGGATGAGTCCTTATTTCGAGATCTTGGCGACCAGAAAACGGCCAATTTCTGAAGGGTTGAAAGGAAGTTTGACCGTTTCCTGGGACGAGTGGGACGGGTTCTGGGGGACCAAGTGGAAGGGTCCAGTGAAGTTGTTCAAGTCAGCGGAGATCCACTGGGAGGTGAAGAGAGGAGAAGAATGAGGAAATCGATGTAGCCTTAAGAATGAGATTTTGTTTTGGGCCAATTGACTTTGGAAGGCAATTATGGCGCTGTAGTTAGGATTATAGTCTGGTATTGTCGATAGTTTTGGAGCATACCTATGATGAGGAGCCCATTGAGAAGCCCATTGAGCAGCCACATTAGAATCGTACTCCAATCGGTTCCTTCAATTTTACCTCCATCAATTAGTACGCTACAGACTAACTGCACCCTCGAAGATCATCTTGCATCCTCCAGATTCAATTCATGGCATCCCAGATTTTCACATTCCACACCACATTCCACACCACTTCTCCGTCTCACCCCTTCTACAAACCTACCTCCGATGCTATGCGTATATTAACCACCCCGCTTGCCGGGCCCGACATCCAAGAGGATCTCCCTCAATGCATTCTTGACCTCCTCGGCCCTCGGCGACCGCTTGCCGCCCATCTTGTTCAATGTATACGGCTTGGCAATCACCACATCCTTGAAAACATTGATCGAGTCGTTCGAGAGCCACTGCACGTTTTCCTTGCCGAACTTGGCCGTCAAGTTGTTGAAAATCGTGAGGGCGTGGGCACTCGAGTCTCGTCTTTTCTGATGCTGCTTTTGCGTATGCAGAGGCTTGGGCTTGTCCGGTTTGCTTTCCAGCTTGCCCTCCAGCTTGGCCTCGGGCTTGCCTTCCAGCTTGGGCTGCTCAGGCCTATACCTGGCAATCGACTCGTTCAAGTCAGCCTCGAGCTTGCGGAGATCCACCTTGGACGGACGGGGATGCGAGTATTTATGACTATTGTTGTATTTTTTGTAGTGAGGCGGCACCACTTGCACGGCCTTGACAAATGCAGTGTTGATGATCCTGATCTTGGAAGGATCCAACTTTAATGCTAGAACAGATTGCGACGGGTTGAACGAGTGGATGATCCCTGTGATCTGCTGATCCAACAAGTTGGTGACCTTCACCCGCACGTTGACCACGTCTGACATGCTGGAACGAGGAGTTGCGTAGTTGGTGCTTTCTTAGTTATGCGAGCTCAGATCATGGTGGTTCTGCAATGTGCACGCCACCTACCCAGAGTCTCGTGGGCAGCTAAACCGCTGACCTTATTTATTTGAATTTGGGGAGATAAAGGGATGAAGAGAATGAGCGTTTGGTTTGGGGTTTTGGTTTTGGACGGTGTTCGTGAAATGCCTGTTTGCCGTGTTTGCACCCATTGGCCTACAGTGGTTATGGCCCAGAAGACGTCCTAGTCCAGAGTTGCAATGGGCAATTAGAAAAAGCCAATTTCGATTCGCCAATTCAACAATTCTTCACTTTTTCACAGAAATGACTGGGCTTGGTGGTGTGCCGATCTGGTGACGTAAGCTGTAGACTGATGCGCAGAGATATCGGCTAGGCTGATCGAGCGGCAGTAGTGGGTGATTTACGAAGAGGGTTTCGCTTTTTTGGGGAAGCCATTGCTTTTGTGATGTATAGGTGGAATTGTGGTATTTTCGCTTCAGACGGCCCTGCGTCGTGTGGAAGTGCTAGGTGTTGGTTATTCAGTAGTAGGCTGCAACATCGATCAGACAGACCTCTGGATGTAGATACACTCATGGAGGTTACTCCAAAAAGGCAATTGAAAGGGAAAAGGTTGCCTCTGATCACACTTCAGAAACGAAAAAAAAAACCTTCCACTCCTTTTTCAATTGCAACATCTCTCCTAACCACCCAACCACCATCACATTTGGCTGCGAAACATCCCAGGACCCTGGACCCTGGTTCCAAACCTAACGATGTTTCCCAACGATGTTTCCCAAAAACCTCCTCCCATTCATCCATACCCAAAAACAACGGCCCTGGCCAAACAAAGCGCCAGATTTTTCGTGGCTTTGCATTGTTGAGCATGTGTTTCCTAAGTCGGATAATTCACGTTTTTCACGTCAAACGTGGTGTGCGTGAAAAAGTCACAAATCCAACGGGCCTGCCGAGATAGCACAAAGAAAGCCCGCTGCACCTCAATAAACGTCATATTTGTAGAGATCATTCAAATAAAGAAAAACTGAAGTTTTCAAAATTCACAATTGTACCTCCCCAAAAAAACTCCTCTCTGCCTTATCACCCGTCGCAAGCGGATTCGCGCCGTACTGCTGCTAGCAATACCACGGCTTTTTTACCAAACTACATCCTCCTATCTCCATCACGGTTCCACCATGGGTGTCTACACGCCAGCGAACAAGCTTGAAAACTTGAAGTTGTACAAGTACTCGTCCGAGGACCAGTCCTATGTCTCCAAGTACATCCTCAAACGGTACTGGAACTGGTTCACCACGTTGTTCCCGTTGAGCATGGCTCCCAACTTGATCACCTTGTTGGGGCTTGTCTTCATCATTGTCAGTGTGCTTTTGGTCTTGTACTTTGATCCCTACTTGGACTCCCCTTCGCCCAGCTGGGTCTACCTTGTCCATGCTTTCAACTTGTTCATGTACCAGACTTTCGATGGATGCGATGGGTGCCATGCCAGAAGAACAGGCCAGCTGGGCCCCTTGGGCGAGTTGTTCGACCACTCAATTGACGCCATCAACACCACTTTGCTTGTTATCGTCAGCTCCTCGGTGTTCCAGTTTGGCGTCGGCTACAAGACCCTCTTTGCGCAGTTCTCCGTCTTGGCCAACTTCTACACATCCACATGGGAGACCTTCCACACTCACACGTTGTTCTTGTCTTGCGTGAGTGGTCCCGTGGAGGGCATGCTCCTTTTGGTGTTTTGCTTTGCTCTCACTGGCTTCATTGGTCCAGGCTTGTGGACGGCTCACTTGTTCGACTTGGACTTGACCTCCTTGGGCTTTGGCTTGGGCGAGTACTCTCTCGATGTCTCCCACTTCCTTATTGGTTTTGGTTTTGTCGGTATCTACTTCAATGTGGCAGCTGCAGCCGCCAATGTCGCTAAGAAGTACCGCTCCAACACCAGGTTGTCCAGAGACACGGCCGAGACAGAGATTGCCAACGCCAAGGAGGGCTTGCTCCCATTCGCTGCATACTATGTGTTTTTGGGATTCCTCATCTGGAGCTTCCCTGACGTTGCATCCACCTACTGCTACGCTTTGGTTTTCTCCACCGGCAGCACCATGGCATTCTGCGTGGGCCGTATCATTTTGGCCCACTTGACGTTGCAGGATTTCCCCTTTTTCCAAACCCCCACGTTGGTGCCGATTTTACAGACGTTCTTGGCTCACTACTTCATCACTTTCTGTGGCTACAGACCTTCTGTGGTGCTCCCCGCCGTGGTCTGGGGTGGCACCGGCTTGACAATTGGAATCCACACCATGTTCATTTCGGAAATCATTGTGGAGATCACCCAATTCTTAGACATTTACGCATTGACCATCAAGCACAAGAAGATCTAAACACACTAGACTCTCAGCGCCGCAAGCGGTTGCCGGCACCGTACACATTATATCGTAATAAACTTACTATGAAGATTCATTTGTATATACAAGTCATCAAAACGTGACAACTGCCCGGTGGCTCATGAAATGCAGTTTGCTGTTGGTGATTGGTTTTTACTTCTGCTCCTTGGTGCCCTCAGCAGCAAGGGGGTCGGCGCCAGAGGCAATCAAGTCCTGGGAGCCCTGCTGCATGGCAACACCCTTCTCCAACTCCTGGAGCTGCATCTCGGAGAAGAGGGCAATAAAGAATGGGAATCCCAACAACAAACCGGTCGAGGTGATGGCCCACAACAAGGAGCCCGAAGTGGAAATACCAGAGGAGGCATAGCTCTTCAATTTGTTGACGTAGTAGTTGTACTGGGCTCTCTTCTCTGGAGGAACAATGTCCTTAAGGGCCACAAGTCTATCATACAAGGTTTCGTTTTCAATGTCGTCCTCGTCAAAGTCGGACTCGGACTCGGATCCGCTGTCTTCAGCGTAGTCGAAAGTGTGTTTCTGCTCGGTGGCGGCAGCGGTCTCGTCGTCGACCTGGGTTAACTTGACCATGTTGTGAGAAGATTGATGTTAGACTTGTTCTGAGCGTTCCTCACTGTAAGCAATGTCCAAAAAATTTTATGAAGCGCGCACGACGAACGCTTACTTAGGCACCCTATCGATATGATCTGGGGAGATGTTTGGTGATAATATTGAGGATGCAAGAAACTCACAGTGAAGTATAATGAAACCCAGCTGTCACATACCCTCTAATAGGTGACCAGACTTTCCTCGTTACGATATGGACTTTGCATAGCATTACACTTGCCGTTTTGGAAGCAAAAAGGCTTCTACTGCTATCGAGCTCTTGGACCTTTCTCATCAGGCAGCATTAGAAACAACAATTGCGTGACCAAAGCATATTTTTGTCAGGAGTTGCCATTTTGGCTCGCTTCGAAAACCAGGAGGCATATAAAGAGAAATGGTGTCGTGTTTCCAGAGAGCACCGCACCTTAACCCAGACCATGTCGAAGAGAGAACTAGTTGAAAAACCCAAAGTAACGTGTGGTGAAGGGGCCAATGAGGTGACTAGAGTAGACACAGTTTACACATTCACGAACTTTGGGTGCACGTTTGATCTTATGGTGGAGAACTTTGGAAGAGCGGTTGGAACCAGCCTGTACCCATTCAAAGAGTGTTGGTATAAAGCTCTTGAAGACTTCGTCCAAGTAACTGAAACGCAAATTTCAAGCTCAAACAAGCGTTTTGATCCTGAACTGAAGGTCAATTTAGAGTATGCCCGTCTGAACAATGGCATTACTTCGATAGGATCCGGACCTGAGGACACAAAGAAAAAGTTGGTGTTTGAAGTTCGCCAAACTCACCTCAAGTTTGTTGATTCACACCATGAGTTGCCTGCGCCCTCAATCGGTTGCTGCTTTTTGGTTATGGGGAATCAATACGAAATGTTTCCGGGGCCAAAGTTCCCAATGTCTCATCTGATTTATGGGGTTGGATCAGAAGTTTCTGCTGCCTCGTGTCATCACGTCTGCGATACCACGAAGGTCGATCTCCATGCTGAGTTTTTGAATCCGTCTTGGTTTAGGCAGGAGTCCCATCACAGAATTGTCCTTCCTGGGATGGCTTTGTCTGAATTTTTAGCCTTGAGCCTCCGAGTCTCAGGAGCATATAAAAGCAATGAGAAACCCCCACAACCTTTTAACATTTCTCATTTAAAGGTTGATGTACAAGAATTTATAAGTGTGTCGAAGAATGGACTCATATCCAATGATGTACGTCACATTACAATTCTCGACTCCGAGGCACATCACCTTGTGCCGCTCGAGTCAGAGTTTCTAGTGCCTCCCGATTTATTGAAATGCTCACTACCTCAATTTGGGCCATCCTTCTTCAGTGATGATCTATTGCGGAGCTACGGTTTGAAGATTCTGGTGACACTTTCACGCGGCTGCCTCCCACACATCGTTTTGAGTAACTTTCTTGAAGTCAACTTGGCGCGAACAAGATCCGAGGTAATCGATTATAAGGACTCAACAGATTACGAAAGATACGTAGGGGCTTCTCCGTCTATCTTTCCCTTTTATGTTACCAAGTACTCAAGCGACGATCGAACCTTGCAAAAGTTTTTGAGCTTTGCGAAAGATAGTTTGTTTGACACAGAGAATCAGTTCATTCGTTGCCAGTTGCGGTGTTATCCCCATAACGAAGATAACAAGGTTTTACTTTTCGCATTAGAGGGATTGGATTTTGTATTTAGACGTCGTCATCGTTACGACCGAGGTCCGTACCACCTTTTCAGGCCTCGTAGACCTTGGCATAGATTGAGAGGCTGGAAAAAACTGCAAGGGTGTCTCGAGCCCCACGTGGTGGTACGTCTTTCAAGCAAAGCAGAGCATGGCGACCGACCATTCTTGAAGAAAAATCAAGTCTTTGGGTGCTTGATGCTCGGCGAACAAACTCTTGAGACTCTAGAAGTTTTCCCAGATAGACTATGGAATCGAGCTTCTCCGGGCAGGTCTTACCTAATTGGGGAATCCAAGCTTCCACTCTCCGTCCGCATTAGTGATCGTGTAAACGGATGCCTGGGAAGGGTATGGAATTTATCAGCCGTCACAACTGCAGGGGCGAATGTATCCGCTTTCATGAAATTAGAAATGATTATAGCCCAAGGTGATGAGGAAGCGAATTGTCCTCGGGCTCTGAAGGATGTCTGCATTCAACTAGAGCACATCAAGATAGAGTTGATAGAAGTAAGCAGCATGCAAGGCAGAAACAGTCTTAAGAACAGATCTTTGCTTCAGAAAGATCTCAACCCTGCTATTAAACCGTTTTGCCGGAGTGATTTTACAGACAGAACTCCCGGCGATCTGGGCTCTTGCTCAATGATACTACCCGATGAAATATTGGACTGTAAGATCCCGGACGATGTTGAGCCGTACGTTTTGTGCCCAATGTCGCAGAATATGAGAAGTTGCGGATTGTATGGAAGGGTACTGATTTCTATCAATGGAACGAAAGACTTCTATTGGTGGTACTTGGATCTTCGTATCGCCCTCGAGACCGAGGAAGTGAAATCGTGTTTCGATATCAAGCGCTGGCAAGACGAAACCCACTTTTGCTTAGACTGATTTGGAATGGCCTGGGCTCTAGAAGATTGACAGATGGGTTTAAACATTCTGCGCTTCTTTACCGCCATATATGTTTGTAAATAGCGTGACCCTTAATATCGATTCGTTTTCTTTTACATTGAAGTTCGTCTTCCTCCGCCTCGATGATAGACAAGGATAATTTGATCCATGTGCTGAGAAATTTGTCCCATGTGTTGGGAAAGGTTGAGCTTCCTGGAGTTGTCAGCTAGAGTGGTGCATGGTGACTGGAAAATTTAGACCGATTGTTGAGCCTCCTGCAGTAAATACTATTCCCTCAAAAATGGTGATCTTGTAATACTACCAGGGTCGTATATACAGGATACTATAAGTAGCAGTCCGTATATTGCAAGCTACACTTAGCAAGATCTGAGGGAGTTTGAGAAGAGAGGAAGCTATAGCCATAGTTTCATAGTCGCGGAGCCATGAAGATGAACCTCGTAACACTCGTGAGCTGTAATTGAAGACTGTCAGGAGCAATATGGGTTTCTAATGTCTAAGATTCTGATGTAGTGCTACCGATTACTTCAAAACTCCACTATCTTAGCCACCAATTTGACTGTACTGTCGAACAATCTTATGCAACCCAAGCCGGCTCTCGTGTGCTTGCAAATACATCTGAGTGTGGAGAGGATAGGGTCGGTATGGTCTACTTGACCTTGTCAGATACGAAATGGCTGTTGATTCAAACAACCTCTAATACACTTAGAAACAACACAGACCATGCGATTCCTTCCAAGAACTCAGCCCCGTCTCTTTTCCTCGAATTTCCGCAAGAGCTGTCGGTCTCACTATGGGCAGGCCGTGGCTGCAAAATGAGAATGGGTGCAAAGAGAGCCCTCCCCTTTTTTGGTCACACATACTACTATTCCCAACACAAGCTGATACTCCACACCATCTAATTACGTTTATCAGTGCCGCAAACATAATTTAAGTTTTACCAAGCAAATTCAGTCAATCTACCAAGGATATGCACCCAAGAGGTTTAATGTTTTGGACAAGACAGCCGGTTGATGGAAACCAAGCTAACGGAGGAAACGAGAAGTGCCTTAAACTTTTGGGGAAGGTAATTTTACCGTTAGCACTTTTTGCTGGTTTCTTGATCCATCTTGCCTTGACATGTGGAGAGTATCGGGCTTTCCCAAGAGAGAACTGCATTAGGTTTCAACCCAACGGAATTGAAGAGGTAAACACCCAGCTTGGTGCCTTGCCCACATCGTCACTCGCTGGCCAGAGATCAGCCGATTCCAGGAGTCACATCAGTGAGCTGATGGGTAACTGGAGCGAGTCTAATACGTCCCACGCCTTGGCGTCTTCTGTATTCACTCCCGTCGAAGTTGGTGGTGGGAAAGAAGTGGAATTGAAGAGCCGGACCGAGAGACAAGATCAGGCGGTCGGAGACGGGGCGAATCAGGGTGAAACCTTAGTGGATTGCATGCGACTCTGGGAGAAGTACAAGAAACAACACTTCCGGTGCTTTCTATTTCTTGGAGCGCTACTTGTTTACACTCCATGGCTCTTCAATAGTGCCCTCTATGTCCCCTTGATCGCTGGTTTCTATCTCTTGGGAACTGTGGCCTTCTTTTTTGCCTTCTTGATCTTGGATTTACGCGATCATTTGATGTTCCTGAACGAGTGGTTTGTTCTTTATGCTTGTGCAGCGGCCCTTGGTTGTTTTATTGTAGCAACCGGCACAACCGTCATTGAGTTGCAAGCTTACCCTTTGGATCAGGCTCAGCACGAACCAGCGAATATTGTATGATGGCGGCACATTCATCCACACGTATGCCGAGGTTGGTTGATCGAGCGATAAGAGGCACTCTTCGAACGTGTCGGGCTCGATGAAATGTTCAAGCACAGGAGTTGTAGAACATATAACAAGTATGCATCGCTGTGGCACATAGTCCCAATAGCATTCCGTTTAATAGATCCAGAGTCAGCTATAAAGGAAGTTGTTTCCAACGTAAGTCCAAGCCTAGCCTGCTCTACACAATAAGCGGGTGCTGTTGTTGCAATCAGGACGACATAGTGGCGTGAAGTCAATATAGCAGCTCATGGTTCCGCCTCGTGGGTGTCTTCGTATCCTCCCAAGAGCTACATCTTCAGTCCTAAAATACGTACCGTCTTTCCTTTCGTGAGCTCTTCGAGAGATGATCCTACATCGATACATGGTAGAAGAATGTGGCCTTCACTTAAGCACAACGAGAGTGATATTTGTGAACGTGTGAAGCAGACATATGAAGAGCGCCTAGCTTCAGAAGAATTGATCTAGCTTAGAACTTTGGCCCATGGATCCATCATTGTATATTGTCGATCATCAAGACAGGCTCACTAGGAATGAGGATTCTACAGAAATTGGCCTTGTCAGTGATGCATCACAGCGTCATATCCATCAGCTCTATCAGACAAACTAATCCCATCCTCGCTTTTTCTTCTTTTTGTTCTACTGTTTTGTTGAATCAGGATAATCGTACGGTCTATGTGCACGAGTGTTAGAACGCTACCACAGGAAGAAGTCTTCATCCCTTGACTCAATCCTCTTGGAATCAAGCGAGGAGTGCACTTCAAATAGGATCTAACCGCTTGTTCTTTTTCCCTAAGGTTCATTAGTCCCATCCTTCACCATCACAGTGTGAGTGTGTTGAGCATTCACACCCAATACACCAGATCCTACCTCGCAATAGTTCGTACTACTCAGCAATGGGCTCAATGAAGCACTGCTACTTGAAAGATAACAACGATTGAACAAAAGGATATCGGAGAATACATTGATGGATTTGGTCATCATGAAAGTCTAAAAGTCTACCAGCCTAGTTTCAGAATGAAGTCCAGGATGTCGAAACATTGCCCTCGTGTTCTCGCTTGTTGCTCTATGTGCCATGACTTGGCTATGCGATATACCTGGATTCCCCGAGATAACCATAAATCAGTTTGCCATGATCAAGTGTGAAACAGGACATGCATTGTGTTGATTATTCCTTGTCGATCGAGGCATGGGCGCTTCCACTGAAAGGAGTATGACACTCCGCAGTTCATACGGGGTTGTCTCCCTATCTCCTTTGTTCATCATATAGGAAACAAGAGAGCAATGGATTTGAAATCGGAAGCTCAGAAAGTCGTCGGTAGGCAAGTTCTTCTGGTGTGCAAGGTACTGCCGACGAAACCTATGGTCAAGCTTCATATCATGAGCATTGGGTTTGCCGTGGCGTTGCTCCAAGCATATGTACCTCTGCTCAAACAAAAATCATTGTCCTTCCGCCAGGTTCACCAGTGTACTCGTTGGCTGAAAGACTTTTAATCTGATCACGCGGCATCCTACCTGTTATCACCAATTCAAGCCGTCAGCGTTTCGTGAAAAGTATCATGAGTCGGTACCTATGATGGGCTTTGAGCCTGAATGCCGATGCCTTTCACGGAGCGTTATTGGGGCTGATGAAGCGAGTCTGGCGTATCAATCTGACCCTATCACGATTCTGAATTTCAGCTGGTTGTCCAACGACAAAAGTGATCGAGCAGTCGAATGTGTTAAATGACATGTAAGGCCATACAGAGACTTCGCCATAACTTTCGCATCTCTTTCCCGGGATGGCAAGTCAATGTCACTCTTTGCAACAGATTCGCACCTCGTTGCAAAAAGAGCCTTTCCTTGTGCTTTCGCAATCTACTACTTCTACTGATACAAGCGATCTACCTAACCATACAGAGGCCTGATAAACAGAAGGGCCAGTCGATCACAAAGCAATAAGAGTTATCCGTGATGGCAGAAGATACGTCGCAAGTTCGTGGCACCGGAGAAAGACAAACTGCAAATCCAGGAGGAGGTACACCAAACAGGTGGAAGTGTAAAGATGTCTTTAAAATAAGCTTCAACTTCGTTAAAGATGTCTGTGGAGGTATTCTTAGACACAAACGGAAACTGGCCTTCGTTGCTGTTTTTTTTGTTGTTCCCGGTTTTCTATGCGTCAAAGGGTTCGCCAGTTACTCCAACCCCATTCCAAACAATGCTTTGAAGGTCCAGATTCAGCAAATGCCAGACATAGTTGCACAAACTCAGGATCTTTGCCAGCACCTCCATATACTGTTAGATGCCGATACAGGTCAATGCAGAATACAGAAGAAGCCCATCTTGGAACTTTGTGACACAACGCATCAGCTAATGTGGGTGGAATGTGATAAGGCTATCCACGAGAAGTTGAAAGATGATACCCTTATCACCAGAAATACCACCTTTCTAGAGAGGTCGCCGAGTCTCCTCAGTGTTCACGAAAGAAGATCAGAGCTTTTTGTACTCAATTGTTCAATTGCTCAAAGTCAAGCAAATGATCAAAAGAGAAAGCTCATGCAATGGACTGTACCCGGCTTTTGTGGGTTGGGAATATTCTTCGCCGTTCTTCCCTACATCGTGAATAGGAGACGGGGGTATGCCATATTTTTTTGGTTCTATAATGCAGCCGCTACCTGCGGTTATCTTATTGCGGTCGGTATCTGCATTAGTAACCCCGTTGAGCATCTGCCAGAGAGCATTGCAATGTATGCATGTGGTTCAATCGCCAAGGTATTCCTAGTGGCAGGAATTGTGGTATTTGTCGGGGCATATAGGCCAATGTTGAAATTGAAGTGCGAAGCCGTTAAAAACCTGCTCGCACAAACGACCCCACCTTCATCAAATTCGACAGAACTTGAAGTATGGAGAAGGACCAGAGGGTCAAATGTTCCCAATGACGAAGAAGCCACTGGTGGTCTGAATGCAAGGCACGTCACTCGAGATGCTGACCCAGGGAGCCAACATGATACGCCAAATATAGCAGCGACTCGAAATCTGAGCGAGGAACGTGACAAGGATGTCATTGAGGCTGAAACTCCCACGGCGGTGTATGAAGATCAGAGCTCTCGAACCTCAAATTTCGACCCGGGTGCTCCCAATGCATGAATTAATATCTGAATACTGGAAAGTAGCGACTTTAATTACGATGAAGCCCATTTAGTCACTACGAGAGATATGTCCCGCCTTTCGTCTCATTAAAAGCTCGGCTTCTGATTTATTCTATTCATCTTCGGTGTAGGGGCCACTGAGCGCTTCATTTGTAACAGTGTAACCAAGCTGCCTCATTTCCTCTGGGTACTTGCGTACATTGTAGAACTGGAGTAGCGAGCGAAGAGCTATTTCCTGATCGAACGAATTGTTGAAATCACTCTCAAGATCTCTGCCGCTAAGCCAATTATCTCGGATGGTGAGTTTCAAATGAAGGTAGACCTGTGAAATCACCTCCATGTTCATCGCACGCCACTTGCGGCCTTGGAATGGTATCACTTTTTTGAAGACTTTGAGAATTGGAATCTTGAAGCTGTCGTTTATGTAGTTGAGTAAAATGAACTTCAACAAGTCTGTTGGTTTCGTCTCGATGAATGCAAAAATCCTTTGAGTGACTCCTTTGATCAAAATCTTGTTCACGATATGCAATTGGTTCGCCAATATATGGCAATAGGTTTTATTGAACTTTGTCAAGCGGACGACGTTATGATTATCATCGTCAACTTTTGATGGTAACTCGGAAATCGGCGTTTTGTTGATGAGGTGAACCGGTGCATCCTGGAAACTCTTAAGGCTGCAAACAGCAAAAAAGTCGAATTGAGGTATGCTTATGCTAGGGTTCATAAGTCTATTCTGGGCCATAACAACTTCATTGGGCGCAAAGGACTTATTATTCTCTTCGTAATCTTGAAAGTCGGTATTGTTGAGAGAATTGTTCATAAAGTCAACGAACACATTTAGATATTGCTCATCAAACAATATCGAGCCGAAGTAATGACTTTTGATGACATGACTGGCTTTGAACCATTTGAGCAAGAGACTAATGATGGACGTTGCTGCCTTAAGCGTTATTTCCTTGGCGTGAACGCCCTCGAGCTGTTTCAACATATGTTGCCTCAACTTATCATATGAAGCAGTGTGGCCGTCGCTATATTGGAAAACCAATGAAGAGCTCGAGTTGATTTCTTGTTCAATATCACGAAAACTAAGATCAGTTTTGTATGACTTGATGATCTCAATGACAACCTTCACAAGGGACGAAAAATACGGAAGGGAGGTCTTGTAAAAGCTGTCAACTCGTTGAAGAGAGCGACGAGCCGACAGATCTTCTGTGGCATCGAGCAAGTCACCACTTTCCGTGTCTGAATCGTCGTAGTGATCGAGAGTACCACGTTCCTGGGCCATGTACTTTTGGCGTTCTCGCCATAGTCTTTTAACAGAGTAGCTCTCGTACACAGCATCTTGAAAAAGCTTGTCTGCCTCCTTAATGGCTTCAGGCAAGGCATCTTTAGCGCCACTCGGGTATATAAATGGCATGCTTTGGTTGACGTGGTACAGCTTGCGGACCTTTTCACCACCAGACATGAAGTCGGAAGGAGTGCTTGGTGGAGACGGCACAGGAGTAGATATGTGGAGTGTATTGACTGGTAGTTGGCCCAAAACTGAATGTGCTTTGTTGGTGCGTGGTATTTCAAGAAGGTTTGAAAGTGAAGCTGTGGAGTTGGCAGCCATGAAAGCTTGATGATTCTCAGTATCCTCATCATGGGCATTTGATTCATCATTGAGTGGGGGCTTGTAGCATTTGGGAACATCTTTCGATAGTACCGGGTACTTGTCCAATAGATCCTCTCTAAAGGTGTAGTACTCCAATGGAGAGCAAGTAAGGCTCTTGGGGGAGCCATCCTTCTTGCCAATCAAATCGTGTTTCCGATTGAGGTACTCATCAACTT